ATAACAGAGACAGAAGATAGGATAAGTGAGTTAGAAGATAAAATGGTGGAAATAAATGAAGCAGAGAGGAAAAAAGAAAAAAGAATCAAAAGAAATGAGGACAACCTCAGGGACCTCTGGGACAATGTGAAACGCCCCAACATTTGAATCATAGGAGTCCCAGAAGAAGAAGACAAAAAGAAAGACCATGAGAAGATACTCGAGGAGATAATAGCTGAAAACTTCCCTAAAATGGGGAAGGAAATAGCCACCCAAGTCCAAGAAACCCAGAGAGTCCCAAACAGGATAAACCCAAGGCGAAACACCCCAAGACACATATTAATCAAATTAACAAAGATCAAACACAAAGAACAAATATTAAAAGCAGCAAGGGAGAAACAACAAATAACACACAAAGGGATTCCCATAAGGATAACAGCCGATCTATCAATAGAAACCCTTCAGGCCAGAAGGGAATGGCAGGACATACTTAAAGTAATGAAAGAGAATAACCTACAACCTAGATTACTCTACCCAGCAAGGATCTCATTCAGATATGAAGGAGAACTCAAAAGCTTTACAGACAAGCAAAAGCTGAGAGAATTCAGCACCACCAAACCAGCTCTTCAACAAATATTAAAGGATCTTCTCTAGACAGGAAACACAGAAAGGTGGTATAAACGTGAACCCCAAACAACAAAATAAATGGCAACGGGACCATACCTATCAATAATTACCTTAAATGTAAATGGGTTGAATGCCCCAACCAAAAGACAAAGGCTGGCTGAATGGATAAAAAAGCAAGACCCCTATATATGCTGTCTACAAGAGACCCACCTCAAAGCAAGGGACACATACAGACTAAAAGTGAAGGGCTGGAAAAAAATATTCCACGCAAACGGAGACCAAAAGAAAGCAGGAGTCACAATACTCATATCAGATAAAATAGACTTTCAAATAAAGGCTGTGAAAAGAGACAAAGATGGACACTACATAATGATCAAAGGATCAATCCAAGAAGAAGATATAACAATTATAAATATATATGCACCCAACATAGGAGCACCGCAATATGTAAGGCGAACGCTAACGAGTATGAAAGAGGAAATTAATAGTAACACAATAATAGTAGGAGACTTTAATACCCCACTCACAACTATGGATAGATCAACTAAACAGAAAATGAACAAAGAAGCACAAACTTTAAAGGACACAATGGACCAGCTAGACCTAATTGACATCTATAGGACGTTTCACCCCAAAACAATCAACTTCACCTTTTTCTCAAGTGCACACGGAACCTTCTCCAGAATAGATCACATCCTGGGCCATAAATCTAGTCTTGGTAAATTCAAAAAGATTGAAATCATTCCAGTCATCTTTTCTGACCACAGTGCAGTAAGATTAGATCTTAATTACAGGAAAAAAATTATTAAAAATTCAAACATATGGAGGCTAAACAACACGCTTCTGAATAACCAACAAATCATAGAAGAAATCAAAAAAGAAATCAAAATATGCATAGAAATGAATGAAAATGAAAATACAACAACCCAAAACCTATGGGACACTGTAAAGGTAGTGCTAAGGGGAAGATTCATAGCATTACAGGCCTACCTCAAGAAACAAGAAAAAAGTCAAATAAATAACCTAACTCTACACCTAAAGCAACTAGAGGAGGAAGAAATGAAGAACCCCAGGGTTAGTAGAAGGAAAGAAATCTTAAAAATCAGGGCAGAAATAAATGCAAAAGAAACTAAAGAGATCATAGTAAAAATTAACAAAGCTAAAAGCTGGTTTTTTGAAAAAATAAACAAAATTGACAAACCATTAGCAAGACTCATTAAGAAACAAAGGGAGAAGAACCAAATTAACAAAATTAGAAACGAAAATGGAGAGATCACAACAGACAACACTGAAATACAAAGGATCATAAGAGACTACTACCAGCAGCTCTATGCCAATAAAATGGACAACTTGGAAGAAATGGACAAGTTCTTAGAGAAATATAACTTTCCAAAACTGAACCAGGAAGAAATAGAAGATCTTAACAAACCCATCACAAGCAAGGAAATCGAAACTGTAATCAGAAACCTTCCAGCAAACAAAAGCCCAGGACCAGATGGCTTCACAGCGGAATTCTACCAAAAATTTAGAGAAGAGCTAACACCTATCTTACTCAAACTCTTCCAGAAAATTGCAGAAGAAGGTAAACTTCCAAACTCATTCTATGAGGCCACCATCACCCTAATTCCAAAACCAGACAAAGATGCCACAAAAAAAGAAAACTACAGGCCAGTATCACTGATGAACATAGATGCAAAAATCCTTAACAAAATTCTAGCAAACAGAATCCAACAACATATTAAAAAAATCATACATCATGACCAAGTGGGCTTTATCCCAGGAATGCAAGGATTCTTTAATATCCACAAATCAATGTAATACACCACATTAACAAATTGAAAGATAAAAACCATATGATTATCTCAATAGATGCAGAAAAAGCCTTTGATAAAATTCAACATCCATTTATGATTAAAACTCTCCAGAAAGCAGGAATAGAAGGAACATACCTCAACATAATAAAAGCTATATACGACAAACCCACAGCAAGCATCACCCTCAATGGTGAAAAACTGAAAGCATTTCCCCTGAAATCAGGAACAAGACAAGGGTGCCCACTCTCACCACTACTATTCAACATAGTTTTGGAAGTTTTGGCCACAGCAATCAGAGCAGAAAAAGAAGTAAAAGGAATCCAGATAGGAAAAGAAGTGAAACTCTTGCTGTTTGCAGATGACATGATCCTCTACATAGAAAATCCTAAAGACTCTACCAGAAAATTACTAGAGATAATCAACAAATACAGTAAAGTTGCAGGATATAAAATTAACACACAGAAATCTCTTGCATTCCTATACACTAACAATGAGAAAACAGAAAGAGAAATTAAGGAAACAATACCATTCACCATTGCAACAAAAAGAATAAAATACTTAGGAGTATATCTACCTAAAGAAACAAAAGACCTATACATAGAAAACTATAAAACACTGATGAAAGAAATCAAAGAGGACACAAACAGATGGAGAAATATACCGTGTTCATGGATTGGAAGAATCAATATTGTCAAAATGGCTATACTACCCAAAGCGATCTACAGATTCAATGCAATCCCTATCAAACTACCAACGATATTTTTCACAGAACTAGAACGAATAATTTCACAATTTGTATGGAAATACAAAAAACCTCGAATAGCCAAAGTAATCCTGAGAAAGAAGAATGGAACTGGAGGAATCAATCTGCCTGACTTCAGACTATACTACAAAGCCACAGTCATCAAGACAGTATGGTACTGGCACAAAGACAGACATATAGATCAATGGAACAGAATAGAAAGCCCAGAGATAAATCCACGAACCTATGGTCACCTTATCTTTGACAAAGGAGGCAAGGATATACAATGGAAAAAAGACAACCTCTTTAACAAGTGGTGCTGGGAAAACTGGTCAACCACCTGTAAAAGAATGAAACTAGAACACTTTCTAACACCATACACAAAAATAAACTCAAAATGGATTAAAGATCTAAATGTAAGACCAGAAACTATAAAACTCCTAGAGGAGAACATAGGCAAAACACTCTCCGACATAAATCACAGCAGGATCCTCTATGACCCACATCCCAGAATTTTAGAAATAAAAGCAAAAATAAAGAAATGGGACCTAATGAAACTTAAAAGCTTTTGCACAACAAAGGAAACTATAAGCAAGGTGAAAAGACTGCCCTCAGATTGGGAGAAAATAATAGCAAACGAAGCAACAGACAAAGGATTAATCTCAAAAATATACAAGCAACTCCTCCAGCTCAACTCCAGAAAAATAAATGACCCAATCAAAAAATGGGCCAAAGAACTGAACAGACATTTCTCCAAGGAAGACATACAGATGGCTAACAAACACATGAAAAGATGCTCAACATCACTCATTATCAGAGAAATGCAAATCAAAACCACAATGAGGTACCATTACACACCAGTCAGGATGGCTGCTATCCAAAAGTCTACAAGCAATAAATGCTGGAGAGGGTGTGGAGAAAAGGGAACCCTCTTACACTGTTGGTGGGAATGCAAATTAGTACAGCCACTATGGAAAACAGTGTGGAGATTTCTTAAAAAGCTGGAAATAGAACTGCCATATGACCCAGCAATCCCACTTCTGGGCATACACACCGAGGAAACCAGATCTGAAAGAGACACGTGTACCCCAATGTTCATCGCAGCACTGTTTATAATAGCCAGGACATGGAAGCAACCTAGATGCCCATCAGCAGATGAATGGATGAGGAAGCTGTGGTACATATACACCATGGAATATTACTCAGCCATTAAAAAGAATTCATTTGAATCAGTTCTAATGAGATGGATGAAACTGGAGCCCATTATACAGAGCGAAGTAAGCCAGAAAGATAAAGACCATTACAGTATACTAACACATATATATGGAATTTAGAAAGATGGTAACGATAACTCTATGTGCAAAACAGAAAAAGAGACTCCTATGTATAGAACAGACTTGTGGACTCTGGGAGAAGGCGAGGGTGGGATGTTTCAAGAGAACAGCATTGAAACACGTATATTATCTAGGGTGAAACAGTTCACCAGCCCAGGTTGGGTGCATGAGACAAGTGCTCGGGCCTGGTGCACTGGGAAGACCCAGAGGGATTGGGTGGAGAGGGAGGTGGGAGGGGGGACCGGGATGGGGAATACATGTAAAAAAAAAAAAAAAAAGATACACTATGGTTGTGATAAAAAAATAAATAAATAAATTAATTAATTAAAAAAAAAAAAAGAAATCAGCCAGCACATCACTGCTAACAGATTTCACCATTTTTCCCACTGATGTCTTTTTTCTTTTTTAATTAATTTCGGCTGTGCAGGGTCTTCACTGCTGTGCAGGCTTTTCTCTAGTTGCGGAAAATGGGGGGTTACTCTCTAGTTTTGGGGCACAGGCTTCTCACTGTGGTGGCTTCTCTTCATGTAGAGCACAGGATCGACAGATGTGGTGCTCAGGCTTAGCTGCTCTGCGGCATCTTCCCGGATCAGGAATTGAACCCCTCCCCTGCATTGGCAGATGGATTTTTTTTTTTTTACCACAGAGCCAAAAGGGAAGCCCCAAGCGATGTCTTTTTACTGTTCCAGGGCTCAAGCCAGACCACCGCACCGCACCACTGCATCTAGCTGTCAAGTCTTCAGAGTCCCCTCAGATATGCCTCTCCTGGTTTTCCATGATCTTATTAACACTTCGGAAGAAAGAGTCCTGGCCAGGTATTTGCTAAAATATCCCTCTATTTGGACTGTGTGGTATTTTTCTCATGATCAGACAGGGGTTATGGTTTCGGGGGAAGAATAAGAGTGACATGTCCTTATCACCTATCAGGCTACAGTACAGTAAAATAACTCAGACTTAGGATTCATCTCTAGCTCTAAATTCTTTAGCCTATTTAATACTTGATATTCAAAGCACATGCAATTCATTAGGAAACAAAATATACTGAATATAATGACACACTAGTGACTATTCTGTCAAGAAAAAAGGCCATGTAGTCATATAAAATCAACCTGATATATCACTGAATCACATTTTAAGGAAGTCATTGCATTTCAAAAACTTTTTTCCTCTTTATTTAAACATAAAAGACATTTACAGCATGCAGGTTAACTTAAAATTATATGGCGTCTTCCCAAACCAATTATCTCTGCATGTATCTTCAAGCACTGAAAAGAAACCAACGTATTCCACAGGCAGACTCAGACTCTTCTATCATCTCCTGCCAAATTGAGAGTTACACACAGTAGTTTTCTTAAATTAGGCAAATAATTTAACTGATCACCATGAATAAATATTACTTTCATTTCACTGAGTTTCTTTTCTGAACCATTTATCAATGCCATTCAGAGGAACATTAATTTATTCAGCCAAAAAAAAAAAAAAAGACTGTAAATTGAAATAAGTATCAATGTTCCAGATGATCAGAAATTTTCATTTATAAGAGTAAATGCTGTGTTTAATGACCTACCATAGCAAAAGCAGTTCAATTAAAACAAATTTATGAAATTCTCTGTACATTTTGTGAAAGTCTGAAATTATAAATAGAAAAAACCACTGAGATATTTTAAAAACCCTAACATTGTGTATTCTGAATCACACACTAGTTACAATTCATTGTTTGTTACACAGCACCAATACCTGTGATACATCTTACAAGAAACTCCCATATTCAGACAAAAGAGAGAAAAAAAATTTCTGCTTCATTTAAGAATATTGCCAAAAAAAGCAAGCTTTCATTTGAAAACAAAATACAAATGTCTGTGTGAATGCAGCCAAACATTTCTTCATTTAGAAAACTATTATCACCAACAGGCAGTAGCACTGTTCTTAGTTAACTGCATTGCTTCAATCTTGCCGCTCTACAAGTTTTCCTCTCAATTTTTGGAGTGTTTCTTTTGATCAAGCCTAAAAACAATACAATCATTTTAAAGGTTGCTGCAGATCAGAACAGCAAGGATTTTTGACTGTTAAAAAAATAAATAAATTTATCTTTTAAATCAAAATTATTATAAAAGTGGAAATTACAATAGTTAAGGAAATAGAAAAATAAGCCAATTATGATCTGAGTCTTCTGACTATGGCTCCAAATTTAATACAAATATCTGTATATAAAACTTTTTCAAAAAGTTAATTCTGCCACCCAGATCCTGACAGAACTTTCCAGCTTTCTCCTCTGAGTAACTTTACACCCCCAATCTTTGCAAATTTCTGCTAACAGAGTTGCAGTTACCCACTTCCAATTGGTGAAGCAAATATTGAAATCTCTTTCCCTATTACTTTTATAGTTTCTAAAATAAACTGTTGACTTAGTTTAATTATCTGAGGAAGAAGTGGCAAAAAACAGATACACATAATTACAAAATTACCAGCTACTGCCAACAAAATAATTTGAGGATTATTAGTGACTTGCAAATAATTTACTACTCCTAGACTAAATAAGAAGTACATTATAGTGTATGATTTAGTGTAACAGGTTAAAGATACCTCAGGGATTTTTAGACCAAAATTTACCTATATATTTATAAATTCACCATATATTTGTCCTGTCCTTCCATGTTTTCTCAATTTCCAAAAGCTATAAATTTAGATCAACCAATACAGTACTAACAATATAAAATTATGTTTAATCCTACAATAGCCATATCTTAGTTCATTTCATTATATTAAGTTGACAGATTATTATCCGTCCAATTCTCATATTAACTAACAGATTCACAAAGCAAGGTGTTTCCATTCCATCAAGCTATGTGTATTATAGCATTGGGAAGAAGAGGAGTTTCTTTTCCAAACTGTTTTTCTTAAACAAAAGCAAAAGATTTGCTTTTGATAGTGTGAAATATTTCTATTCAAGATAATTCAGCAATAGGCATTTCACAAGATAATTAAGTAGCCTTGCCCAGTCTCAAGTGTCTAGTTAGGCAGTTTTAAAGGTTTCAGTGCACAAAGAGTAGTTTTCAGAAGCAAACTTCAGAGATGATGCACATAATTTTAACTCTGAAGTCATTTCAAGGGATTTTTAAGTACAGTACTGACCTGATATAATTTGTGGGCATGTAGTGTTATAAGTGGTAAAATTTAAGACATTTAATCTAAAAGTTCCATTTCCCCTAAAATAAGGTATTATAAGAAAAGAAAAACAAGCAGTAGCAGCTAGGTAACTTAAACTGAGATTAAAAAATAAACATGAACAAGTACAAAAAGCACAGTCCTATATGATACAGTTAGCTTGGCACAGTGAAGACTAAATTTAAGACATGAAAGACAAACTGTGTAATAAATAGGGCCACAGTTGTAAACTGTCATTTTTCCCTCCTAAGACACCAAAGTTGCACTCTAGTTGTGTTGGGAAGCAGCAGAGTTTACAAGAAAAGTGGGTAGGAAACAGCTGTACAGGTCAGGTACAATTTATACACTAAAAAATGTTTTAATTCTAGAGTTCCCAAGGGATACAGGCTACAGTCATTGAATTATGTCCTCTTCATACTTCAATTACTTTTAATACCTGAAGATGGAAGAAAACAGAGAAAATATTTTTTATACAAAAACTGTGTTTTAAAAGAATGAAATAAAATATACCAATTAGTTTAAAAACAGTTAGCCAACAGTTTTGACCACTTCCCCCAAAACTGAAAAGATTGCAACAATGAATGATTTGATTTCTTTTCCTTTTAGTTGTCTCCTAAGCAGAGCTGTCTAGGGACAGTACAATACTGAAAGGAAGTCAACCCTGCATTTGCTTTTACTTACCCCAGGACCTATGAGTAAGTTGATATATAAATTAGAGGGTTTTTTTTTTTGAAGAAAAACATGGTCAATAAAATGCCGGCCAGTAGACAGTCGTCAGTGACATTAAGTCAAGGACCACTAATTAACTAGCAATGTTACATATATGGTAGCTGTGAAAAACAAAAAGGGGTGGGGTGTACCAATAAGCACGAAGTACATGTGCTAAGGAAAGCAACAGTGAAATAAACAATCCCAGAGACTTCCCCTGTGGTCCAGTGTGAGGACTGGGCACTTTCACTGCTATGGCCCAGAGTTCAATCCCTGGTCAGGGAACTAAAATCCCAAAAGTCGTGAGGTGTGGCCAAAAGAAAAAAAAAAAAAGTAAAATAAAATAAAAGTAAACAATCCCAGTAGGAGTTACCTGGAGGCATCCTTGTAATCCACTGCCTATTCACCTCTGTGTTTATTAGAAAACCTCAACCTGTCCAAAGCATCACGCAGCTAGAAGAACCAACCAGCCACGTAAAACTGGGTACTACGAGTATCACTATCATTCAGACATTGCCATCTCTCCCCAAAATAAATCCAGTGTTTTGAAATGCTTTTCTTAATAATTAATAATAACCATTATCCTTTGGAACAGCAATGAAACAAACCTGTACGTAATCATAGTTACAGTAATTTATAGTTATTTCCAAGTCTTGAAAACCTGTGTTAGCCAGGTTAGTCAACTCCCTCAAGTACTTAAGTGCTGTCATTACACTGGATCAGCAATCTGCTGCTAAAACCTAGCTTTACTTAACAAAGGTCATGGACTATGCTCTCTGCAAATGAGACAGGAGTTCAAAGTTCACACGTGAATTTTAATGTGAGGACAATATCCAAAACAGATAAACTTTTACCTGTATTTATTTATATTTATCCTTTGAAAATTCTTTTGCCCACCTCCAATTTCAGAAAAGGCAGCTTGCATCTCCTCAGCATCTGCTCTGTACTAGGTAGTGATGCCTTAACTTGTATAATTCTCAAGAATGACTTTCATTTTATTAATAAAGAGGCTCAACAAGTTATTAATCCAAAGGGGGAAAAACAAAGGCAGGAAAACCACTGTAATGTCTGCTGATGTGACATAATATTAAACACATACCACCTACAATGTAATCCTGTAAAAATGTGTGCAAGAATTCAATAAATGCTTTTAATAACAGGGAGCAGAGGAACACAGCAGCTACATCGAGAAACAACCAAACACACCAGAGGTGACATACGCGCCAGAAAATTGGCCTTTTCTATTTAGTAAGTCAACGTCATTAAAAAAAAAAAAGAGGGTGGGGTGTTATTCTAGATTAACAGAGACTTAAGGCAAATAACCTAATGTAAGCATCGGTTCTGGATTACTCCCTGGTTTAGACAAACTAGCTGTAAAAAGACTTAAAAATCAGTAAGTAATCAGAAAATTCCAAATATAGATTTATACAATATTAAAAATATTTTGTCAGTTGTGATAATGTTGAGGCATATAGAAAAATGTTTTATTTCAGAGATACATTAAGTGGGCCATAAACTTCATAATTTACTTTTATGCTTAAGAATTTTTAAAAAGGAGTGAAAACAAAAAAGAAATCAGCTGTTAAAAAAGTAACTTTCTCAAGTTCATAAAAGTAAAAAAATCAGAATTCAAACTTAGGTGGGACTCCAACATCCATTAACTCTTTCATTGTATCACTCTCTTTTGAAACCTCTACTATGTGGACAAAAAATAATATTAAATTTATGGAAATGTGAATTATCCAGAATGCTGCTTAATATTCTACTCAAATTGCAAGCCAATATTGTGCAAAAATGACAAAGTAAAAACAAGGAAGATTAACATAAAACTTCAGTGTTTGTCAGAAACAAAACCAGCTAACTATCTCATAATTATATCTATTTTTTAGTTTCCTTAGTTTCCAAACCACCTACACACTTGGGACTTGCTAAGAATTAAATCTGGTAAAATATTAGGCAGCTATAATTTTAGCCATGTTGTATTAAGAAAATGTTCACAATATATTACCAAGTTAAAAAAGCAGGCTATCAGCATATTCAGAATAGCATAGCATACTGGTAGTATGTTACAGTTATTTACATTTTAACCTTCCTAATTTAAAGAAAGTTCCAGAAAGATATAAATATTGGGTGGTATTTCTAGATGATATTTATCTTCTTGCTTTGTGATAACTGTCTATCCTCTGATAGGGTGCAGCTATTACTTGTATTTAGAAAGAAACAAGAAAGAACTCATAAATCAGCCATAAAAACCACTCACAATAGTAAAACAGCAAAGGACACAGAAAAAAAAGTATATATATGGGCCAATAAATATATGAAAAATTCAAATTCATTCACAAATCAATGAGATGCTTATTCCAGCCTATTAAACTGGACATTTAAAAACTATTAATACTGGCAAAGATGCAACAAAATAGAGTGGCTACAATACAATTTAGCATATTCATTCGGAATAGCAGTGTGTTAGTATGTGTCAAGAATCTTACAAATGTTCACTTTCTTGTGATTCCACTTATGGGAATCTTCTGGAAATAATCTGAAAGTAAGGAGGTATAAAAACATGTTTCATTACTTCAAATTTCATACATGAAAATTTCAATACTGGAAAATTCCAAGTATGAAAAAATTAACATAATTAAATATCCAGTAAAATAGCCATAAAACCATGATATTTACACTAGATAATAGTGAGAGCTTTAAAAAAAATGACCCAATATTAGGTTAAAATTTGAATATGCAGATATTATGATCTGAATTATGAAAAAACTTTAAAGGAAACCATGGTTAAGTTACTTTCAGAATCCCATATATAAAAAGAAATCATGCTATTAATGTTAGAATCCAAAAAAGTATTTAACCACCAGTGGCTGAACACCTCCCATGGACAGTTGTGATTCAAAAGCCAGACAGAGATCACAAACCCGTGTCGTGGGGAGCTTACACCGGCTTGCCTCCTCCACCTCGCACAGCCACTGGCTGGCTGTTCTGAACAAACGCACCTCCTCCACGAATCGCACTTGGATGAGTTGGAGAAGCTGCTGGATGTTGCCCGGGACGAATAGGTTTAGCTAGTATGAAAAGCAAACGCTTACTTTAGAATATATATCACACAACCACAATGACTTACTACGTCTCTTCTCTTTATTTACAACAAATTCCCAAAGGTTTTTCTTTGGCTTTTTGTTTCTCAGCAAATCCTTCCATCTCTTTTTCTTTTCAATTACATCCTTTTGTCAAGGACCTATACAATCCTTAGAAATCTTGTTGAAAGGTTAAATTCACTAACCTATTAAAAACCTTATTCCTGTATCACTGCTTTACAATTAAAGCACGAGATACTGGATGACATTTTCTTGCAAGTCTCTTCTTAGTTTCTCTAAACCTGACCAGTCTTGCTCATCTAGTTCTGACTTAGCTCCTTCCCCTGCTAAGGTGCTATACCTCAATGCTCTTCACTCCCAACAGTGCCACCCTCTGGTAAACTAGAAAATGTAACAAATACCATAGGACAAATCAGATTTCATTCTCAAATAAATACAAATACTCAAACCAAAGCAAAGTTTCACAGTTTGTGTCCTACTAACCAATCTGTGCAGAATGTCCTCTTCTAGCCATATTCTTTGATCTGACTGCTTCCTTTATACGATCTACTTCCTGCTGATAGCGTTTGCGATCACGAGATGCATTTTCTTTCGCTTCTTTCAACGCAGACTCCAAAGCTTTCACCCTCTCAGCTGTAGCTCTGAGTCGCTTTTCCAGCTTAGGGAGCTCACAGCGAAGATCTGCATTATCACGTACCAGCTAAAGGTGGACACAGAAAACAAGGATTCTGGCTTTACTGATGATTTGAAAAAATATAAACATTTTATAACTTCTCTTGGGAGAAAAAAACAAAAAAACACTACATTTTATGTTAAGGTTTTCCCACAGCTAGTTTAATTTAGGCAGCAATATGCAGATAATACATATATCTCTAAATATACTCACATGTCTCCCCCCAAATATAATTTCATTCAATATTGAGGGGCTGGTGAGACTGTTCTTTCCCCCATGACAATACGTTACAACATAGCATTATGTCTCTTCATTAAGAGACTCATCTGGTGGACATGAAAATCCTTTTAGATACAGTAAGACCCACAAGTAAACGTAAACTTAACAAGTCCTTAGTAAGTGCTGAAAGGCTGACATTTCCTGAATCTCACTCTAGTGTAAACACCAGGTCTACAGGAACAAAGGCATACAACAATTAAGTATGCCAAGAAGCTTAAAAACTAAGTAACTGAATCACGTTATCAAGCCTTAATAAAGGAAAAAAGTAAACAAAACAAATAAACCCCACAGTAAGTATTCCTCTTTTTGGGTGGCCACACTGTATAGCTTGCGGGATCTTAAGTTCCCTGACCAGGGATCAAATCTGGAACCCTCAATGGTAGAAATGTAGAGTCTTAACCATTGGACTGCCAGGGAAGTCCCTACTTTATAAAAAAAAAAAATGAAGTGCCTTGTTATATATTTCACACTCTGAGGTATTAAATGTATGAAGACCAAAAAAAACCCAACACCAACCTTATTTTAACTTAAAGACTTGTCTTCCCAGAGATTTAAAAATGAGCATGAATAAGGAAACTGACAGACCTGAAGCCCTACCAGGAAAATAAGGACATGTCTTTCACTGGCCTCCTGGTAAAAGGCTGTTAAAAATAGTAACTAACGTAAAAATTGCTAGTGGTTTATTTATATAATTGCATGACAGAGTAACAGAATGGCTCAGGGTATGAAAATCCTTAGGACTCTGAAGATTCAAATGCTTGTCACTCCTCAGTTTTTATTGCAGCGACAGTGGAAGACTCTTTATTACCTGTTTGTGGACTTTGGTGAGTTGTTCCAGATTATTTTCAAGAAAGGAGATTTTCTGCTTCTGAGCAGCACTGCCTCCAGTGTCATCTGAATCAATCTCGGCACTCTAGAAAAAGATCAATCAATGCTATGAAAAAATATTACTGGATCAAATAAAAGGTCTAAGTTTAACTACTACCAAAACTGTTATGACAATGTAAAGTTATTTCACTTGTAAATACAATTAGACACAGAAAGCACTGCTGTAAGGCAAAAGGAGAGGGGCGGCAGAGGATGTGATGGTTAGACAGCATCACTGGCTCAAACGACATTAATTTGAGCCACCTCTGGGAGACAGAGGAGGTCAGAGGAGCGAGGTGTGCTACAGTCCACGGTGTTGCAAAGAGTCAGACATGACTTAGCGATGAACAACAAAAACAGTAAGCAGCATTACATAAATATTCACCCTGGTATTATTTTATCACCTTTTTCACCCTGGTGGCCAGGTCCTGAACAAAGAGCTTCCGCAGGTTGTGTAGAGTCTGAAGTTCCTTTGCCTTGAATTAAGAAATAAGTATTTTTAGAAGCTGGTCTTCAAATTTACTAAAACCAGGGGAAGAATCCATTAATATTCCCCAATCCTATTTATTTCCAAGTTTTCCTTACCACTGTCTCTTCTAAACCTTTCAGGTCTTGTCTTGCTTGTTCTCGTCTATCTTGCATAACCCTGAAGAATAGAAGAATATACAAATACAATAAATATGGGCTCAACTTTGAGTCCATAAATTCTAGTTTTATTTAGCACAAGTATTCAATCAAATATTTTTATCTGACAGGATCAATGCTTAAATTCATATACTAAAAAGATCTTATTTTGAGAAAATTTACCAATGTTTAGTCTTTCAAAGAAATTTCTATATGCCTTATAATCTTCTAAAATCTATAGGGTATCAGGAAAGAACTGTCATAATATAGCAATGGGAGAGATAAAAGATTATGTGGCAGAATTTAAGGAATAAGGAATGGTTCTTTCTGAATTTCAGAATATGCATTATCATATAGCATATCAGAAACAACTCTAATGGAAAATTACAGATTATAAATTACTGAAGACAAAAAAGAATGTGTTTTTATGCAAGATCAAATCTGACAAAAATTCAGTTTTTGTGGCAGATCCTGAAATCTAAACTTCTAAATGTCATGCTTTAGGTTTATTTTTATGATGGATCTTGAAGTAATCTGAATTTTGATTATCAGTGAAATATAAGACTTTGCTTTCACTAAAGTATAAGAATAAACTGCATGTTTTTAGGTATAAATCAAACCAACTCAGAGGGTTTAAGAAAAACACCCCTTAGCCTACACAAAGTGAAACATTTATCCACTGAATATAACTGAGAGCAATGCCTGTAATTCTCTAATTTATTTTATTTTTACACTTGAATCAAAATGTCTACTCACGTAAGTTCATGTAGTTTTCTGCTCTTTTCCTGATCTGTAGCTTTCAACTTTTCATGTTCTACTCTCAGGCGTTCTTGCTCTAACATCATTTTCTGGTTTTGGCTGACAAAATAAAAAACACCTCACAAGATCAACATCTTCATTTTCTGAATGCTGTAATTAAAAATTTTCAAAATCTTAAATTCTGTAGTCTCACCATTCACATACATCAGGCCTCCTCTTTTAGGCTGCCATCCACAGAGGCAGAAATATCATATGGCTACATTCAGCCATATGATATTTTTCAGTTTGGTTTGAGACCATGTCTTGATTTTGTATGTTTCATTCTCCTGAATTCTTTCCCTAAATTCATTAACAAAAAGTTCCATGTCCCAAGCTTTGTCATCAATTTTTGTTACTCTCCTTTGCCTCCTACTCAAATCATGATTTGGTCAAAGACCTCAAATTTCTATCAATTCTATGCTATATGTGTATGGCTGTGGAAGTAAGAAAAATATGTTCTAGAAAAACTAAGACAACCACTTCTATTAAAAGAAACATTTCTAAAACTCGCAATTTTCATAAAGTTTTTCTCAGGAATTCCCTGGTGGTCCAGTGGTTAAGAATCCACCTTGCAATGCAGGAACTCGGGTTCAAATCCTTGGTCAGGGAACTAAGATCCCACATGCCGTGGGGCAACTGAGCTCTCATGCCTCAACTAGAGAGCCCGAGTGCTACAGACTACAGAGGCCAGACTCCCTGGAGCCATGCACCACAACTAGAGAGGCCTGTATGCCCCAAACAAGAGCCAATGCAGCCTAAAATAAATAATTTTTTTTAAAAGCGTATTTTTAAAAAACGTGAAGGAAAGGATCTGGAGAAGACAGTGATATGTATCTGAAATAATGGTTAAAGTTGGGGAGTATTTTTCTTTTTACTGAATATCTGTATCAAAAGACCTAAGAAAAATTTTCAAAAACTTCCACTGGGACTAGAAGTTCTACTCACAAATGAAGATTCTTTATTTTCAAGTCAAAAATTGTTTCAAAGAAAAATGCAGGTTAGAAACATTAGAAATAAGGATATATTACCCACCAGTGATCTTTTATGTCCTCCTGTCTAAAGAGTTAAGTCTTAAGTTTCTATTACCTCAGAAGAAAGGAAAGTACACTTACTCTTGAAGATCAGTAATAAGTTTTTCTTTTGCCTCAACTTCATCTCTCAAACTACTAATTTGTTTTTGATGAGTTTCTCTGTGGCTTTGGATCTGCTGTTCAACAGCTTGCTAAAATAATTGGGGGAAAAGGATTTTAAGTCAGATTAATCATGATTAATAATGATGAATTAAAACCATTAGAGTCCAATGCTACACCAAACTTACCTTAACTTCATTTGCCGTCTGAACCTTATTCAAGTGCTCCTTTTCCATCTCATGCACTTTCTCTGTTTGGGTGGGAAGAGAAAACAGAAGAAAGTGTTTGAATCAAACAAATAAAACAAAATGGGTTTTATGAGGCTAGGTTCCTTAATGGGCTCTCTCTGGTGGCTCAGTGGTGAAGAATCCTCCTGCCAAAGCAGGAGACATGGGTTAGATCCCTGGATGGGCAAGATCCCTTGGAGAAGGAAATGGCAACCCACTCTAGTATTCTTCCCTGGAAAATCCCATGGACAGAGGAGCCTGGCAAGTTACAGTCACAGAAGAGTCAGACATGACTGATTAAACAACTTTCCTTAACAGTACTTGACTTTAAATTACCCAAATGCCACAAAGTAAATTTTACTCAGTACATACTGATTAGTAACTGTAGTTATGTTCTTTGTATTGATACTATGGTTTCCTTTATTTTCTTTGCCAAATTCTGCAATAGATGGGCTAGCATGTCGTAGGGAAACAAGACAGCTTTTTAAGTCCCTTGTGTCAGGACACGTGCACACAATACATGCAGGCACACGTGCACACACACACACAACTTAGAAATTCTTAGATTGGACACTTCCATATTCAAAAACAATTTCAAAAATATGTTTCAAAGCCACACTAAAATGTAATATTTACTATTCCAATTGGTCTGTATTCTTACTAGTATATTCTCCATCAGTGTGAATGTGTTTACTACAATCATACTGAAGTCAGTAACAGTTTATAATATAGATATAACTCATGAATAACTGGAAGAGGGTACCTTGTGCTCGAAGCTGGACTAGCTCTTCACTGAGGGAATCAACAGACTCCTCCAGCTGTCTTTTTTTTTGCTCCACATTTTGAAGATACTCAGTCAATGATTTGATTTTGGCTTCGTGCTTTTGAGGAAAATAAACTGTTATGAAGTGGAATAAAACCCCTCTCATACACACTCAGTTGTTCAGAGTATTTGAAAGTAGGCAAGATTTGTCAATATATTAGACATAAAATAAACTTACAGAACAAAATACTTAAGACCAAAATGTTCAGGGGCAAGTTTTTTAAAATGATAAAAGAATTTGATCAATGAAATGGTCATCTGTGCAGTTTCTAACACTTACAAAATAAGGCACTTTAAAGGCTGATTCCTTTGTCAACAAAGGTCCATCTAGTCAAGGCTATGGTTTTTCCAGTGGTCATGTACGGATGTGAGAGTTGGACCAAAAAGAAAGCTGAGTGCTGAAGAATTGACATTTTTGAACTGTGGTGTTGGAGAAGACTCTTGAGAGTCCCTTGGACTGCAAGGAGATCCAAGCAGTCCATCCTAAAGGGAATCAGTCATGAATATTCATTGGAAGGACTGATGCTAAAGCTGAAACTCCAATATTTCACTGATGTGAAGAGCTGACTCATTTGAAAAGACCCTGATGCTGGGAAAGATGGAGGGCAGGAGGAGAAGTGGACGACAGCGGATGAGATGGTTGGATGGCATCACTGACTCAATGGATAGTGGTTTGGGTGGACTCCGGGAGTTGGTGATGGACAGGGAGGCCTGGCGTGCTGCGGTTCATGGGCTCGCAAAGAGTCAGACACAACTGAGAGACTGAACTGAAGGCTGATTTATGAGGTAATATTCTTACTGTTATCTCCAACTAACATTAACCTCTACCTTTCTCCTCCAATTCCTAGCCTGCTGAATGATCTCACCCATTTAGTTTCCAAAGCCATATAACTGGCCCTGCAATTTTGCTTATGCTAGAATTATTCCAGATTCTTCAATAGTCATCAGTCACAGCTTTCTAGTAAATTCCTATACTTAACATATACATGTCACCAAATATAACCCAGTTAAATCATTCATGTTATCACACTGCAGCTAGAGTAGGAAAAAGTAGCTGAATTAACTGCTTAATGTTGTCACTCAAAATAACCTACAAAAGGTCATTCTTCTTAGAACTTTAACAATAAATAAAATTTATATGTGGCTATTCAAAAAATTGAGGAAGGTTTGCTCTGTAACACATACTTGAGAGATACGAAGCTGGCATGCTGCTAACTCCTTTTCATTTTCTTCCATTTTTTTGTTGCTCTCAGTTTGTGTGCTTTCTAACTGTTTGCAGCGTTTTACCATGGTTTTTACTTCTGACTTCATTTTGCTAATGTAGAGCCTTGCAACAGTGAATTCTTCATCTATCATGCCAGTTCCCTCCGGCTGCTGTGAGAAAAGGAGAAACAGAAATGAAAGATAAAAAAAGTCTTTCTTGGTGTGTGTTTACCCAATTAGGTTCTAAAATCTTAAACAAAATTAAATACTTTTAATATTACTCAACATTTGTAAGAAGTTTGGAATTTTTAAATTAAATATTGTTTTTACTAAAGGGTAAGTAAAGGAGAGCTTAATTTTTGCCTTATCTTCTAAACTTAATTTTTAACACACGTCTACAGGGAAGAAAAATGTAACATATAAACAAACAAAACTAATGAACTCTACCTCTTTCAATTTGTGGATTTCTTCCTCAAAGGCGCTCAGTAAATTTACTGTTTATATCTAAGTCCAGTTCAAAACTTAACAAATAATGACGTTTAGGTGGCTAGAAAAGAATGACTTCCTCACTAAGGAAGAACTGTGGTCAGGGCACATTTCTTAGTAATTTTCATGAGATTCATTACAAAATTCCAGTACAACATTCAGTGTCAAAAAATAAGGAGCTCAACCAGTGGTTGAGTGGTTAGGACTCACTTTCACTGCTGGAGCCCAGGTTCAATCCCTGGTTGGGGAACTAAGATCCTACAAGCCACACGGTATGACCAAAAAAATTCCCCAAACCCAAAAACATAAAAATAAAAAACAAACAAAAATAGAGCTTGACCCTCCCACTAACATCTGGAACAAGACAAGGATGCTTACCCTTACCAGTTCTATTCAACATAGTACTGGAAGTTCTAACCCGCATCAAATCAGACAAGAAATAAAAGATACCCAAATTGAAAGGAAATAGGTAAAACTGTCATATGTAGATAATATACTATATATAGAAAACCCAGAAGAATTCACACAAAACCTAGAATTGATAAAATGAATTCAGCAAGGTAGCAGGATACAAATTAACATATAGAAACTGGTTGCATTTCTTTACATTAACAATAAAGTATCAGAAAGGCAATGTAAAAAACCCCAGTATCCTTTAAAATCATATCAATAAACCTATAAAACAGGAATAAACCTGAACCATGTAGGCTGAAGACTTACATGCTGAAAAACACAAAACATTAATAAAGGAAACTGATGTTTATTTAAAGAAATGGAAAGATATTCCATGTTCTTGAGCTGAAAGAATTAATACTGTTAAAATGGCCATATTACCCAGAGCAAACTATAGATTTAATGGGATTACTATCAAATTACCCATGATATTCATCACAGAACTAAATAATCCTAAAATTTATATGGAACCATAAGATCTAGAATTGTCAAAGCAATCCTAAGGAAAAAGCAGAAGGTATAACCCTCCCAGACTTCAGACAATACTACAAAGCTACAGTCAGCAAAAAAGCACGATACTGGCTCAGAGAACCCAGAAATAAACCCACACCTATGGACAATTAACCTTTCACAAAGAAGGCAAGAACATACAATAGGAAAAAGTCTTTTAGCAAATGGTGTTGAGAAAGTTGGACAGCCAGATGAATCAATGGAGTTAAGACACTCCTTCATACCATGCACAAAAATAAACTCAAAAGGGCTTAAAGACTTAAACTTTAGACATGACACCATAAAACTAGAAGAGATTATAGGCAAAATATTCTCTGATAAATCATAGCAATGTTTTCTTAAGTTCAGTATCCCAAGGCACCAGAAATAAAAGCAAAAGCAAACAAATGGGACCTAATCAAACTTACAAGCTTTTGCAAAGAAAAGGAAACCATATCAAAACAAAAAGACAACCTACAGAATGGCAGAAAGTATTTGCAAATGATGAGACCATGAAGGGCTTAATTTCCAAAATATACACACAGCTCATACAACTCAACAGCAAAACAAACACCCCCACCCCCTATAAGCGGCAGAAGACTTAAAGAGACATCTCTCCAAAGAGGAAATACAGATGGCCAAAAGGCACATGAAAAGATGCTTAATACCACTAATTATTAGAGAAATGCAAATCAAAAATACAATGAGGCACCACCTAACATTGGTCAGAACGGCCTACATTAACAAGTCTACAACTAACAAATGCTGGAGAGGGTGTAGAGAAAAGGGAACCCTCCTATACTGCTGGTGAGAATGTAAACTTGTGCAGCCACTATGAAGAACACTATGGAGGTTTCTCAAAATAAAAACAGAATTACCATATAATCCAGCAGTCAGTCCCACTTCTGGGCATTACCTAGTATTTGCCAAGGAGCAGGGGGTGGGGCAGAGTGGGAGGTTGGGATTAGCAGACGCAAAACAGTATATACAGAATGGATAAACAACAAGGTCCCACTGTATAGCAGGGATATACCTTCAATATTCTATGCTAAATCATAATGGAAAAAGAGTATGAAAAAGAATGTGTATCTATGTATAAATGAATCACCCAGGTTTATAGGAGAAATTAACACAATATTGTAAATCAACTATACTTGAACTTAAAAATAAGGAGCTTGAAAAGAAAGAAGTAAACCTGTCTTTGTGTGCAGATGACACGATTGTTTAAAGAAAAACTCCTGGAACTAATAAGCCATTATAGCAACATTACAGGATATAAGATTAACTTACACAAAAGTCAATCATTTTCTAATATACTAGCAAAAGAAGGAAACAAGGGAATCTGAAACTAAAAACCTCTTTCTGATGTCATTCATATTATCACTTAAAAGAAACAGCCAACATAATAGAGAACAACAACAAAGTTGGAGGACTGACACCACCCAACTTCAAGACTTACTAAAGCTACAGTTATCAAGATGACATGCTACTGACAAAAGAACAAATAGGTTATTAGAAAAGAATCGAAAGCCTAGGAATAGCATACACAAATATAGTCAATTAATCTCTGACAGAGGACAGAGGGAATTATGGAAAATGGACAGTCTTTTCAGTAAACTGCTGGAAAAACTAATCACCCATATGTAAATACCTCACAGAAAAAAATGAACTCCCAATGGATCATATACCTAAATGTAAATTCAAAACCAAAAAACTTCTAGAAGATAACAAATGAGAAAATCTACGTGACCGCGGGTTTGGAGATGAGGTTTTAAAGTGTAACACCAAAACCACAATCCATGAAGAAAAAGAATGGCGAGCCAGACTTCATTAAAAAGGTAAGCCAAAAAAAAAAAAAGATAAGCCAGACTGGGAGAAATATCAGCAAAACACATACCTAATGAAGGACTATTATTCAAAACACAAACAGAACTCTTAAAATTCAAGGTAAGAAAATGAAGAGTCCAAAACGCAAATTCAAACAGTGTGCTATGGCTGATTCATGTTGATGTACAGCCGACATCAACACAATGTTGTAAAGCAATTATCCTTCAATTAAAAACAAGAACACCAAAACTGTGTGATAATGTCACATATCTGTTAAAAAGGCTCAAACCAAAACAATGATGACATCAAATACCTGGTGAGGATATGAATTAACAGAACTTTCATTTTATTGCTGGTGGGAGCAAAAAATGCTACCAGCCAATTTTGAATACAGTTTGGGAGTTTCTTACTAAGCTAATGTAGTCTTCACCTATGATCTAGCAATCACACTCTTAGTTATTTTAACCCATTGAATCAAAAACTTATGCACTCAAAAAACCTGCACATAAATGTCTATTTATAGCAGCTTTAAAGTGGAGGTAACCAAAGTGGCCTTCAACAGGTACTTACCTACATACAAAAGGGCTTCCCTGGTGGCTCAAATGGTAAAGAATCTGCCTGCAATGCAGACACTGGGTTCGATCCCTGGGTCTGGAAGATCCCCGGGAGAAGGGAATGACAACCCACTCCAGTATTCTTGCCTGGAGAATTCCGTGGACAGAGCCTGGCAGGCAGTCCATGGGGTCAGAAAGAGTCAGACACGACTGAGCAACTAACACTTTCACTTTCTTCTACATACAAAAATGAAATGAGCTATCAAGCTAAAAGACATGGAAAAACATTAAATGCACACTGCTAAGTAAAAGAAGCCAGTCTGAAACAGCTAATACTGTATTATTCCACTTATGTGACATTCTGGAAATCGCACAACTAGAGAGTTAAAAAGATCAATGTTTGCTAGTGATTCAGGGGAGAGGGATGAGCAGGTGAAGAACAAGCAACTTGTTAGGACAGTGAAATGATTCTAATACTGCAATGGTGGATCTCTATTATGCATCATCAAAATCCAGAAACTTGTACAACACAGAGAGAAACAGAATGCAAAACATGCAAAACAAGGAGAACTCAAGCAGCGCTTATTGATGATGTTTAACAGGAAAAGAATTACATGCAAAACTCAAGAATACCGAGGATCCATTTCTTCTTTTATTTTTTTACTTTTCAGAAAAATATTTTGCTACTTTATTTTTCTATTCATTTCTTCTTTTAAAAGAACCTATTTAAAATAAAATAAAAGAACCTATTTGCAAGGCTGACTTGTTTTCAAAATACTACAATGGTTTAGTGACAAAAATGGTTTAGATGTCTGGTTATCAGTGGCTGTGCCACAAGACATAAGCCAGCCTTACTCTTTATTTTCTCTACCTTTACCACTTCTTCACTTATTAAATTATTTGGACATGAAATGGATGAAAAAAGTGAAAAGTGTTGCTGAGTCGTGTCTGACTCTTTGTGAGCCAAGCACTGTAGCTTGCCAGGCTCCTCTGTCCATGGACTTCTCCAGGCAAGAATACTGAAGTGGGTTGTCATTTTCTTCTCCAATGAAATGGATGAATTTTTCTAAAAACAAGCCACAAATTTACAAAGAAAAATTTGAACATGTTTGCAGTGTTCAGAATACGAAGGAAATCTACTTTTTTATCCCAGAAGATTTCAACAGAACGTGATCAATCTCACATACTTCACCACACACAGGACAGGGCAAGATGTTCAGACTGACAGTGAAGAAAGAGCAAGTCACATTATTCAATGTTTAATGCTTTTCTGTTCTGATAAGGTGAGCCAGCATTAAGAAATGACACAATTATGAGAATGAATCCTTGCCTCCATCAACAAACAACAGGTCAGAATAACAACAGAAGGAAAGTGTGCTCCACAGTGAAAGCTTTTATTTCATTTCCAACTCTTGTTAAACAGGGCTGCTTACCTGGCTTTCACTATAAACTCAAGTATAAATTTGCTCTCCTTATCACTATAATTAGACTTTAATTTAAAAAAAAGGAAGTCCATACAAATATCTACTGCAACATACAAACCTTTCATGTTATGTGCATGTTTTTCAGTTAAGAGTCCAGTTTGTATTTTTTATCTAAGTTTTAAAATGTACCAGGTTGCAATTTTTTTTAACTACACACTAGTGCTAATATAACGAGTATCTGCACCCTGAAAGATTATTAGAAAAGAAAAAATGTAGCAAAATTTTGATAACTGATTAACTCTAAGGTTCACAATATTGTCCTGTTTACTACTGTATGTCTGAAAAATTTCAAAATATAAAGAATTAATTAGCAGTGCTCACCTTTTATCTTTTTAAACACTTAGAGCAACCAGAAGCTAACTTACAGTTTACTCCTGGAGCTATTGTTTCAATTACACTTTCTGTGTAGTAATTTATTAACAATAATTTCTAAGTGCAAAAATCTTTACATAGAGAAGAAAACCAAACATGTGGTCCAGATAAACGCTATTGACTGAGCATGTCTCCTTGAGCACCCTTTATCTTCTCCCTCTTCCTCATCTATTTAAAATGAAGCTAATCCCTCTATTACAGATGGGTCTTGGAGGAGGAGATGATGTGTATGAAAAGAACTTTGTGAAAAATGAAAGCATGAGCTCTATACAGATAATCGTGCTTACTCTCAGGTAGTTAGTTACCTTTACGTCGTTGTTTCCCACAGCAATTCCTATTTCTGCCAGGTCCTTTAGTAAAGATGCCATCATCTCTGCTGCTCTTTTTTTCTGGTGGTTGGTCATTTCCTTAAGTTTCTGAAGCTCAGCATCTATACTTGCTAAACTTGCCTAATAGAACAAAACACAAAAGTGAAATCTATTAAATGAAAGAGCAACTCAAATATTGACAGGTATTTTCATTTAGTACTCACAAAACCATTATTTTCCACTTTCATTTTCTTGAATTCTCTACTGAGTTCTGGGCTAGCTCTCAGCTCAAATTTAAAATGTATTTTAGGCCTAAGAGGACCATGTAAAGTACCCATATTGTAGCTCCATCAAAAGCAGACAGTTTGTATTACTTCACAAATTTTTGAGATTGGATGTTTTCTACCTAGAAATGGAAAACTTTCAAATTAACTAGATTTGATTTTCATTTATTACCTTTGGAAACAGTCTGAGAAAATATATGTTAGTATGGAACTGATACGTCTTCTAGATGGCTGATAAGTTTTATCTGCTTTTTATATAGTATTTAGTTTCTGAAAAGAATTCACCTGGTAATTACTACTACTTTTGTACTATGATACATGCAATTATCCAGGAGACAGTGAAGTAGCATTACTATATGAGTTTAATTACTATAATTATAAATTTAAAATAATAGCTGGCTTACCAGCAACAAAGTCACCACAATTTTGAAAATTCAACTGAATCTCGCTGCTTTAAAACTGTTCATTGTGTCACAGATCATATACTTCATTTTTAATGCGAGTTACTGACTTTTAATCAGTATCTTTTAGTAAAGATACCATTGTTTCAGCTGCTCATTTCTTCTGATCATTTCCTTAAGTGTGTGAAAACTAGCAGATTGTGAGGTCACTCAGTTCGATCTACAATATACTACGAAGTCCAAATTACCAGATAATATCTCTAACAATTGAACAGCAATATTCTTGAGTATATAAAAAGATGCAGACCACTTTAGGGGTTTCTAACTCCTTACCAATACAGTGCTCATATATAAACTGGAACACAAACAGAACAGTCATACAGGCTGAAATCAATGGCTAAGGACCAACTTAAGAGTTTACAGAGTTTTAGGAAACTGCTATCATTTGTCCAAATAGAAATCAGGTTTGTTAATGATGCAACTCAGTTAAGAGTTATAAAGGTATTTTGATCTCCATGGTATTAATTATAACTTCAAGCTAAATGTAACTTGGGAGATCAAAAAGGGAAAAGGAACTTCTCCAGGAGCAGAAAGGCTATTAAAAATGTCATTTTCATAGCACTGATTGCTTTCCTTTAAACACCTGATATGACAGGGAAACAACTAGTGAGCACTAATCCTGTGTCCAACTTTAAATATGATTTCTAAACAAGAGGCCAGTATTAACAACAAAACTTTAAGAAGAAGAGAGCTCATCCATGGTGATGCTCCAAATATCACAGAAGCAGTCACAGTTGTATACTATTTCTGGCATCACTGCCGGAGGGCAGTGATTCATGCCTTACAGTGATGAAAACAAAAATCTTCATTCCCTGGGGAACCATGATGAAGCTATCACTGTCCTAGAAGACACTGGTCCAGGTACTGGAAATTTAACAGTGAACAAAACATAAGTTACGTGAAGCCATATATCCTGCTAGTTTGCTTGTTGTGCACATTTTAAAAATCATAGTTTGAACAGTTGGCTAATAACTTTACTGGGCAACTAGTCAACTTTTTTTTCTTTTAACAATAGAATATTATCTGGAGTAGCCAATATGTGGGGGAAGGCAATGGCACCCCGCTCCAGTACTCTTGCCTGGAAAATCCCATGGACAGAGGAGCCTGGAAGGCTGCAGTCCATGGGGTCACTAAGAGTCGGACACGATTGAGCGTCTTCACTTTCACTTTTCACTTTCATGCATTGGAGAAGGAAATGGCAACCCACTCCAGTGTTCCTGCCTGGAGAATCCCAGGGACGGGGGAGACTGGTGAGCTGCTGTTTATGTGGTCGCACACAGTTGGACATGACTGAAGTGACTTAGCAGCAGCAGCAGTCAACATGTAGCCAATTAAAATACCACTTTAATTACATATTAATAGACCTTTAGAAACTAAAAAACTAACCCTCTTCCTCTACCTTAAAGCTTCATATATGGGAGGAAATAAAGTTGACACTTGAGTTCTTGAAGAATCGATGCTATCAGTCTTGAGCTTTTACAGAAATAATTTCCTTAGGTAACTTTTCAATTAAGAATACTAAAGTATTAAGAACGAAAACTGTATCCTACCGATTTCTGATTCAGCTCGTCACTAAGTAATTCATATTCCTTAGTTTTGTCTTCAACTTCCTGAGACTTCTGATCATAGTTGACAGCAAGTTCTTCTAAGGCTTGTAAAACTTCCTTTACTTCTTCCTTAGAGGCATCATTTTCTGCCTGAAGGCGATTCAGCTCAGTCTGCATATTATCTTGATCTCTTCTGGTAGATGCCAGAAGCTGTAGGAAGGAATAAAAATATCTGTTTTATCCAAAGTACACTAAGTAACTGGTTTTTAAAACATAAACAAGTTTTTTTTTTTTTTAAAAAAAACCTTTTATCACTTGCTAGCCAAAAATGGAATGAAATGTAGATATTACTATATATGGTAACATCTATTCATTCAACAGGTTTACTGAATACCTACTGTGTGCACATTCTGTGCTTAACACTGTGGGAGATAGAAAAAATCTAGTGGAAGACAGATACACAAACGAATGCAATACAAAATGACATGTTAGAGCCATAATGGAAACAGGACATGACAAAGTGCTTGGTAGTATAAGGAAAGGGGATATTTCTGGATGGGTATTCATGGAGGAGGAGGCTAGAATAGGAAAATTATTGTCAGGTGCACACTAACAGAGAGAAAAAGACACACAAGGCTCCTAACAGTGTGCATAGAAAAAGAAAGAAATCAGTAGATGCTTTAAAAGTTTAGGTTTTCTTTCGGCAACAGAGGGTGGCATCTGAGCTATGTCTGAGGAAAACATGGTATCAGCAAGTAAAATCTAAACTGCAAGAAGCCAATAAACTCTTAGGAGGATACTGCGATCACGTGGGTCAGTTGCTTTGAAGTAGGGGCATCTGGAATTTGCAGTTTTCTAATGGGGTAGAGTGTAAATGCCACTTAGAAGTGGGAGCCAGGGGTGCCAACTGTCCTGTAAAGTGGACAGAACAATATAAACAAAGAATTATGCAAATGATACCAGTGCCCTTTTGATAAGCAATGCTACTAGAGTTGAAACAAATAATATGATTCAACCAGGATTAATCTGACTGATGGCAGACCTCTCCTGGGCTTTCCTTGTAGCTAGCTCAGCTGGTAAAGAATCCACCTGCAATGCAGGAGACTTGGGCTCAGTCCCTGGGTTGGGAAGATCCCCTGGAGAAGGGAAAGGCTACCCACCCCAGTATTCAGGCCTTAAGAATTCCACGGACTGTATAGTCTATGGGGTCGCAAAGTCGGACACAACTGACTTACACTTTCACTTTTCAGATACCTCTTACTGAAGTTATACAGTCTTTGCTCCAATCCCCGGAACGAACCTCAAAGGACCACTTTTCAATTATCCCCATTCTTAAATTGAAGAAAGTAGGGAAGACCACTAGACCATTCAGGTATGACCTAAATCAAATCCCTTGTGACTATACAGTGGAAGTAAGAAATAGATTTAAGACACCAGATCTGATAGACAGAGAGCCTGATGAACTATGGACGGAGGTCGTGACACTATACAGGAGACAGGAGTCAAGACCATCCTCAAGAAAAAGAAATGCAAAAAAGCAAATTGGCTGTCTGAGGAGGCTTTACAAATAGCTGTGAAAAGAAGAGAAGCGAAAAGCAAAGGAAAAACGGAAAGATATACCCGTTTGAATGCAGAGTTCCAAAGAATAGCAAGGAGAAATAAGAAAGCCTTCCTCAGTGATCAATGCAAAGAAATAGAGGAAAACAACAGAATGGGAAAGACTAGAGATCTCTTCAAGAAAATCAGAGATACCAAAGGAACATTTCATGCAAAGATGGGCTCAATAAAGGAAAGAAATGGTATGGACCTAACAGAGGCAGAAGATATTAAGAAGAGGTAGCAAGAATACACATTAACTGTACAAAAAAAGATCTTCACGACCCAGATAATCACAATGGTGTGATCACTCACACTCATCTAGAGCCAGACATCCTGGAATGTGAAGTCAAGTGGGCCTTAGGAAGCATCACTATGAACAAAGCTAGTGGAGCTGGTGGAATTCCAGTTGATCTATTTCAAATCCTAAAAGATGATGCTATGAAAGTGTTGCACTCAGTATGTCAGCAAATTTGGAAAACTCAGCAATGGCACAGGAATGGAAAAGGTCAGTTTTCATTCCAATCCCAAAGAAAGGCAATCCCAAAGAATGCTCAAACTACTGCACAATTGCACTCATCTCACACGCTAGTAAAGTAATGCTCAAAATTCTCCAAGCCAGGCTTCAGAATATGTGAACCGTGAACTTCCAGATGTTCAAACTGGTTTTAGAAAAGGCAGAGGAACCAGAGATCAAATTGCCAACATCTGCTGGATCATCAAAAAAGCAAGAGAGTTCCAGAAAAACTTCTGCTTTACTGACTATGCCAAAGCCTTTGACCGTGTGGATCACAATAAATTGTGGAAAATTCTGAAGGAGATGGGAATACCAGACCACCTGACTTGCCTCTTGAGAAACCTGTATGCAGGTCAGGAAGCAACAGTTAGAACTGGACATGGAACAACCGACTGGTTCCAAATTGGGAAAGGAGTACGTCAAGGGGGTATATTGTCACCCTGGTTATTTAACTTATATGCAGAGTACATCATGAGAAATGCTGGCCTGGAGGAAACACAAACTGGAAATAAGACTGCTGGGAGAAATATCAATAACCTCAGATATGCAGATGACACCACCCTTATGGCAGAAAGTGAAGAGGAACTAAAGAACCTCTAGATGAAAGTGAAAGAGGAGAGTGAAAAAGTCAGCTTAAAGCTCAACATTCAGAAAACTAAGATCATGGCATCTGGTCCCATCACTTCAAGGCTACTAGATGGGGAAACAGTGCAAACAGTGGCTACTTTATTTCTGGGGGCTCCAAGATCATAGCAGATGGCAACTGCAGCCATGAAATTAAAAGATGCTTACTCCTTGGAAGGAAAGTTATGACCAACCTAGACAGCATGTTAAAAAGCAGAAACATTACTTTGTCAACAAAAGTCTGTCTAGTCAAGGCTATGGTTTTTCCAGTAGTCATGTAGGGATGTGAGAGTTGGACCAAAAAGAAAGCTGAGAGCCGAAGAATTGATGCTTTTGAAATGTGGTGTTGGAGAAGACTCTTGAGAGTCCCTTGGACTGCAAGGAGATCCAACCAGTCCATCCTAAAACAGATCAGGTCTGGATGTTCACTGGAAGGACTGATGTTGAAGCTGAAACTCCAATACTTTGGCCACCTGATGCGAAGAGCTGACTCATTTGAAAAGACCCTGATGCTGGGAAAGACTGAGAGCAGAAGGAGAAGGGGATGACAGAGGATGAGATGGTTGGATGGCATCACTGACTCAATGGACATGGGTTTGGGTAGACCCCAGGAGTTGGTGATGGAGAGGGAGGCCTGGTGTGCTACGATTCATGGGGTCGCAGAGTCAGACACAACTGACTGAGCGACTGAACTGAACTGACCGTCCAGTAAGGTAAAATGAGGGTCCAAAGTGACAAACTAAACTAGAGAGGAACTTGAAAGAAACAAGATGAAAGTGAAGATCACAGAAATGAAAAACAGGTCACAGGAGGGTAGAATTGGTGGAGTAAAAAATAACCTTATTCACTGATATTCTCATTTCCATGATAAAAGTCATACACTAAAGTATGAATTACTAAAAACAAAGCCAATGTGATTCAGAAATCAGTCTTTTCTTTAATAATCCCTCTAGACATATATCAGTGTTTAAGTGTTTTTTATACTCCTTCCCTCATCATTTCCATGTGGAAATACTTTTCATAAACGGAGGGGGAACCTAAGGTTACTCCAGTCCAAGGATCAATAAGAAATGTTTGGGGGAGAATAAGACAAAGCACTGTACAAGGAAAGCAAAAGACAGAGTTGAGATGCCCAGGAGACGTATATTAAAGAATAAATGCAAAAAAAGAAAATCATCCTCTCCCCTCCAGTTAGACTTAACTCAAACTTAAAAGAACCAAAAAAACCCAACCCCAAAAATTGTCAAGTCGTCAATCTTTGCTTCTGTCTATATGATGTACTACTCCCATAGGATATCCACTGTGAAGCATGGACATGTTCAAAAACTTTTTTAATGTACTGGAGTATGTTCTGAGCGCTGTAGATGCCTTCATCTTTTAAGGGACAATGACAAACTATACAGCTTTTCTGGAAGGAGTATTCAATTTACCTCTTCCTGATCCAGCATTTGTGTCTTCAGTTTTTCTACCAATTGGCTCTGTTGATTAATTTCTTCATCCTAGAATTTTCAGTTACAAGTTAACAGAATAGCTCACAAGCTGGTTCTGTTTCCTAACACAAACTGTAAGATTACTACCCATTCCCCAGTATTTCAAAGTTGTTTTCTCCAAATTCGACATAGCTTATTCTAATCACTTATCTTAGAAAGATGTTGAAACAAATGGAGCTTCTTTCAATTATCAATAACTGTATCATCCTTATCATGCAATAAAAAAAGCTTATGTTATGAAAGTTATTCACAAAATACTTTAAATGCTAAAAATAATAAACATATTTAAAGCTATTACTGAAAATAATGCCATGTAGCCACTTGAAACCTACCTACCATCCCTGTTTGAAATACATTAAAAACATCACTTACTAAGAAAAAGACAAAGACAACACCAGAACAATTTTTTCTAGTCTCTTTACTGTTGTTTTTCCCATTCTTTTATTTGGTTCATAATTGTGCTATCTTTCATACTACTGATATCATCAAAGTAGAAGACAGTATTTCCACTTGATTCTCAGTCTAATCTCTTGCATCATTTTTATCATTAGCGCCACAGAAAGCTGATTCTAAAAGGTCATTTCATTAAGGCTCTCCAAAAATCCACATCAAATTTGAAAGTTCTTTCAGCTTAAAGAGAAGGGGAAGAAAGGTATGCCTCATACACAGTTTCTGCATAGAAACAGAAATTGTCATTTTATATTTTTTGTTAATACAATGATCTTCAAAAAGTTATAGAAACCAAGCAATATGTACATAGGTCATGAGGACCCATTAATACTGAAATTAGAAAATAAAAATGTCAATAATGTTCTAAGACAAAAGAGAACACAAATAATACTTACCTTGTCATCAAGTTGTTTGTACAGTTTAGCAATTTCTTCTTCACACTTTCTTCTTTCAGCATCAGTAAAGTTTCCAGTAACTCCAATTGTGGCTGCTGGCTTATCATTGGTAATAGTAATATCCTTATCCACTGCAAAAGCTTCCAAGTTGGCTTTCTCTTTATCAAACTGTTCATCAATAGGCACTGTCTCTCCTAAAATAAAGACAACAGAATGGTTAACAAAACCCACCTGTCTAAAATTAATTTTAATTTTATTCAATTTCAGCAGCTCTTATCAACTTTATCTGCTCAGTCCCTGAGATCTGAAAAGCTGGAATTATCTTTGATGCTCCCCTTTATCTTCTAAAGCCAGTCATCAAATCTTGTATTTTTAATTGATTTCATTCTAAGCTAAACATCTTGCCATCTTGAGACTTCAATAGCCAGCTAGCTGGCCTTTATGCCTCTATTTATTATTCCAGGTAAAATCAGAATTTAAAGTAAAACATTTTATTCATTTTTATTTGATGATCCATAATACGTTGTTATTTTCATTTATATCAGAGTCTCAAATTTATAAAATAGCTCTGAATCTCTATTCCACAAACCCTAAACAACAAATTTGTAAGTTATTACCATTACGCCATCGGTTGAGTTCATTTTCAAGCCACTGAATGGTGTTTCGGAGGGTCTTATTTTTTTCTTTTTCTCTTTCATACTTCTTTTTCCACTGTTCTGCAGTTAACTCTACATTGACACAAACTGTGTTCTTAATTGTTTTGGCCCTAAGACAAGTAGTTGGGGGAAGAGGGGAAGAATGTGACTTAATTATTTTCAATTGATATCTATATCTCTGTAATATAAGCATATGTGGCTAGGTAATTTAACTGTTCTTGTCTAGTTATCTCTGACTAAATTCTAGGAGCTGTACTTCGTATAGTGTTTATTCACAACCCATTATATTTGGGTCAGTTACATCACCTCTGAATAGATTAAAAAAAAAAAAATCAGCAACCTGATAAAAAAAAAGGGCTCATTATTTTTCCAATTCATTTGTAAGGCAGAATTAAGAAAAGCAATTATCAATGACAGTCAAAGTCATCATTATTGATTTTCCTTGGCTAACCACCTCATATACAGTTATCCCATTATTTGAACAGGTCACATTATCAATAGGCTTAACATATGATCATATCCCTCAGGTTTTTGATTTATTATCTGATTCAAATGTTTGTTTTCTTTAATGCTGAACTGAAGCTTCTCACATAAACCTGACTCAAGTTAACACTTAACTTTAATGTTTTCTAGCGCACTAATAATACACACTGATTTGAATATATCTATCCTGAAACTTTCCTAGATTTAATAAATGAAATGCCTATCTACATTTAGACTTTATATTTTCTTAACAAAAACAAACCTCTGACCAAACAGGAGTGTAGATTTTGTTTCAGATTCATTGTACGATGAAGGAGAGCAGCAAATTACAATAGTGGTTCTACAGTTCCCACCTAAGGAATCTTGAAGGATTCTCGTCATTTTACTATCGCGATATGGAACATATGTCTACATACAAAAACAAACAAAAAAACCAAAGAAGACAAATGGGTTTCTCAGTAATAAAATATGTAGTAGTATTAAAATGGGAATTAGGATATACACACTTATATTATAAAATAAATCCTTAAAAGACAACTTATTCACACCTATTCATTCAGTGAATCCCTCTCACTCACATCTACACATATGTATGTTATCTATGTTTAACTCCCCATTAGATAACAGGAAATAGAAAACAAGTGTACTCACACTACCCTCAGCCAAAGCAGAAATGACATTTCCAAGAGCAGAAAGGGACTTGTTGATGTTCTTAGCTTCATCCAGCACAGCACCTTCAGCACCAGTTTTACTAACCTATGCATAAGATTGCAAAAGAATGAAACAAAATTATGATTCAGTGATTCTAATTTTCTAAAATGTTCAGAGGTCATCAATAACTAGTAAAAAGAAAAGGGAAAGCTTCAAGACTTTGTTCGTCAAGTATTTACTCTAGTAAGTAGTAGTGAAAGTCACTCAGCCATGTCCGACTCTTTGCAACCCCGTGGGCTATACAGTCCATGGAATTCTCCAGGCTAGAATACTAGAGTGGGTAGCCTCTTTCTTCTCCAGGGGATCTTCCCCATCCAGGGATTGAACCCACGTCTCCCACATTGCAGGCGGATTCTTTACCAGCTGAGCCACAAGGGAAGGCCCAGTATTTACTTTAAGCTATCAGTATTTATCAAGTATGACTTTTCTGAGACCTTGGTCTTTTTTGCATGATAAAAATGGGATTAAGGAGATACCAAATTTTATTTTTAGGTGTGCTCATGAAATCAACCAATTTACATGTAGATTGTATTGACAGCTTAACTAATTTGTTAACCCCCTTTGATGCACTGGGAAAACAAAACTAAAAAGTTTACTAAAGCACAATATTGATGTTGTGATGGTTAGAGAGAGACTGAATTTACATGTATCAATTTTATCTAAGCAAACTTGCTTCTATTAAAAAAATGTAAAATACATAAAGATAACAGACAAATATGTCAGCAATGATTCCTGAAGAAGCAGCTTCTCAGTATTTGCAAAATTAGAGAGAGACTTTGAAGGATGTGTGTAAGATTTTTGTGTAGAAGGGAGCAGGTATCTTATTTCAATCAGAAAAAACAAATCAGCAGAACAAACAACAAAAAAAGGTCACATAGGTCAGTATTAAGACATTTGAACTTATTTTGATTTTGACATAAATCAGAATCAGATTGTATAGGACTACAATAATTAAACACAAATGACGTGACTCAGCAGCAGCAGCAGCAAACCTCCAAAAGGAGTACAGCGAAATCCAAAGGAGTAATTAATGGACAGCTTTTAGAGGGAGGCCATTGCCAGTGTGAATAAAATAGACACCAAAAATTAGGAAAAGGGTACCTAGTAAAATTCTTAATGACATAAATTCAACACATTATCCATAAAGCATACATCTACGTCAAGGATAACACTTATCGGCAGAATTGGATCATGGCCTGAATGACAGTAATTTGCAATGACGAAACACTGGCATAAATGCTTATATCTCTCAAAAATAACCAAACCCAGTTTGACACACTTTTTCAAGATTTAACAATGAAAATACGTAAGCTCAAATCTGAACTAAGTTCATTAAAAATGCTTCCATCGGAATATACATCATTAGGTCCCATTTGTTTATTTTTGCTTTTATTTCCAATATTCTGGGAGGTGGGTCATAGAGGATCCTGCTGTGATTCATGTCAGAGATATATATAAAGATTTTACCTTTTCACTACCAGCTAAATCCACCAGATAAAGTTTTCCACTCAGCTTTTGTTCCGTTTGCGTGTTCTCTTGTTTTACATTAATAAGAAATATACTGTGACTCCTAGAGCTATGTTCATTCATATCTACAAAGAAATCACACAACCAAATATCAACAAACAAGGCTTTCCCTTACTAATAATTTCTAAAGCATTATTTCATCTAAGAAGAACCCCTACAATACTGTAATTAGCCTCCAACTAATAAAAATAAATGGAAAAAAAAAAAAGAAAAATCAATACCTTAACTAGTATTACTAAATATGCCACTTACTTGTAACTGCTACATGTCTGTTAGATTTTCCTTCATCTATGGTGTCCATAACTTCATCTGGACTACATACAAAACGCTCTGTACATCCCTGTAAAATAAATTTTAAAGAATGTCACCACCCTTTAAAAAATATTATAGGGCTTTTCTAAACATTCTGAATTATACCTACCTTTACATAAGGAACTCGATTTTTATCTTCATGAACTGAAAGATTGGTCTTTGAAACTGAAAAAGAAAAATAAATAGCATTAACATTTTCCTAACAGCTAACACTGGCTGTGAAATAGTTAATTCAATTGTTTCTTGTTTCTCTCCCCATGCAGCCAAATAACAATGAACTTAAAAAAACATGAAAATATCACTGCAAAAGCAAAAGCCTATAGAAGCAGACTTATATAGAGACATGGAATTTTAGGTCCAGGCCAACCTCTGTCACTCATATTTTGAAAATAAGAGCACTAAGTCTGACCGGTTCTGTGGTTTGCCAAAGACAATGTGTCTGGCAGCTGAGAGAAGACAAGAGCATAGGACTCAGGCTCTGGAACTCCAGTCCAATCGTCTAATTACTACCTATGAAGTTACCACAAATATATGCTTTAAATAAGTCAAAAGGGGTTCAATTAAACTTTGAAAGAAACATTTTTCAATGTTTCCTATAATTCAAGTCAGTTTCATATAGGTTATTAAGAAATGGTATCACATTTACAGCTAAAAACAGTAACATCAAAGAGCAAGAATTTAACTTACCATCTAACAGGTCCCTTATCTTATCCAAATAAATTTCAAAATATGAAACCTTAAGGGCAGAAGAAATAAAGGGGGGAATAAAATCAACCACTTAAAATCACAAAGTAATTTATTTACTTATTCATCAAATATTTATTCCAGCCTGAGTGCTAGGTACCAGTGCCAGTGCCAGGGACAAGTCAGCTACAGCTCATATTCTAATGGGAAGCCTTAAAATCACTCAGCTCTTTATGTAACTAAAGTGCATTTTCCACTAAGTATCTTCATCTAAAATTAGACTCATTAGGTCTAATTAGTCAGAACTTTTGAGCTTTGTAGCAAAACAAACTCCTTTATCTTAAAGAGGAGGCAGCTAAGGCAAGAAAGACTTGGCTTACTCCTTTACTATGTCAGAGGAAGGGTCTGAGTTTACTAACTCTAACAATCTTTCAACTACATCTGCCCATGATTTTTAAAATACTTTTTAAAGAAAAAATACTGAACAAAATTATTCTAGGTATAAAATAAAATACCACCTTTCCCCAGTGATTTTACCTTAATATGAAATTCCAAATTTTCATCCATGGAGTAAATATAATTAAAAATATCTTGCACTATTCTTGGAATAATTCCCATGCCTTCTGGATCATGAAGTTTACCCTAAACAGAAAACAAAACCAGAGTTCCTAAATAAACTGTAACAAACAAATTAAAAATCAAAACTTTTAATTTACAATTCACAGTTGAGAGGATAGGAATTCTAATTGTTGCTATTTTTTTGGTGAAAAAATGTGGCTGTACAAATACCTAAAAAACCCCAATTCAACTGTTACATATTTTGGTAAGTTACACATAAATAATGTACGCTAATCATACAGTTACCAATTGATCACAGCATTTTCTTTAATCATTAGATTCAGATGATGCAATTTGTGAATGAACACATTCCAGGAAAATGTTTGTGAGTTGCTCACCATTTAAATCTGCATCATTCTATCTACTTCAAGTCAAATTCATCCAAGTGCTAAGAATGTCTTTGTTACCTGACTTTAACATGATGAAAATAAATAACATGAGTGACTCCAAAATAAGCAGTCATTTACTTTACATATGTAGCATGCTCAGATAAATGATAAAAGCAGACACTCTGTAGCAGAGGCAGCTTATAGGCTGTTTTCTAGAAGCAAAGCTTGAGCAGGTTTACATTCATTATTAGTAGCAGCTCTGGTAATTTTGGAGCCTTCTTATCAGAGAAGAGGGCTAGGTATCTGGCTAGGGGTTGGGAAATGAGACAGATGCACAGACACGACCAAGGAGAGAAGGAAAAAATCTAAGTGCTCCAAATAGAAATGAAAACACACAAACATTAAAAATTTCAAAATTCCCCATTATAAGGTGACAGAGAATTCTTATTTAATTCTAAGACATTCACAATTTTGTGGTTATGTGGATAAAACAAAGCTCAATATGATTTCATATATAAAATTTCTATTCAAAGTCAGGAACTGATTAGATTCTAACCATGTTATTTGTGTATCATTTGTATGAGACAAAGCAATAAAGAGTAAATAAAGCTGTTTAAGCATGATAAAATGTCACAAATAATGAATAAATACACCGTATGTGCTGCAAACTACATCCAAATACTGTTTAAAAAACATTACCTCCATTGTGTGTGTCTTCCCAGAGGATGTTTGTCCATATGCAAATATGGTTCCATTGTAGCCTTCAAGTACATCTATGAGAAAATAAGAGATTTAATACACCAGGGGGCTTTTTTTCCTTAAGCAAGACCATTAAAGGAAATTAGTATGAATATATAATAGTAATTTTCTCAGTGAGGATTCATCTAAGGAATTCCTTTCTCTTTAGCCCAAGTTACTGTCTGTTGTCAGTAAGAAACAAATTTTAAATTCCATTGCTTATAATCATCTCTCCTGTCAATGTACATCTTAGATGTCAATGCAACAGTATTCTACAGCTTTACATGACCTAAAAGGAAAAAAAATGCTCTGCCAGTTTATGTACAGATATGAACTAGCTTTTAGAAGGAAGACTGATTGGTGGCCTACTGGTGGTTAAGCAGAAATCCACAATATTCCTCCTTATACAAAGTATAACAAGCTCAGTCCCATCTCAAAATAAATTATCAGAATTTCCATGGAATTAAAAAAAAAAAAATACCACACAAATTTTTTTTCTAGCCCTTTGTGTACCCCAAGACCTACCAATAACATTTAAGTAGCTTCTTTTACTAGGCTACGGGGTGGTAGTGCAATGTGAGTGAGCAAGGTGACTTTTGGTTTCCAGTTTTGGGGATTCAGTTTGTTGGAGACTTTTAAAGTTGTTTTTCCTTGTTTTCGTAAAAAGAAAGGTACTATAAAATCATGTACTATTTTAGAGGAAGCCAAAGTACAAACTGAGGCTTCTGCTGGAAACAGCAGATGGTAACAGTGGAAAATAAATTTGTAATAAGCAAGCAAATTCTTGTTTTTTTTTAAGTTGACCATTTATAAAAAGAAAAAAGAAAAGGAAAAAAGTCCCAACATTGGTCACAACTAACTAGATAATACACTTGCTTTAGAACTATTTATTTATAAGAAAAAGAAGGTATTAGTACTTACTTCTCTGGGAAGATTTTAAGAGATCTCAAACATTTGAAACTTTTATTCAGTTTCATGAAGAGAAGCAAAATAGTTTCAGGAATTACATTTAAAACAGATTAAGACTGAAGTATTTCTGTTAGTAATTCTGAAGATGAAATCATCTGGGGTAAAAAAGAAGCACTAGACCCTTTCCAATCTACTTCTTTTATATATAACTGATCTCCATATATCAATATCACACCCTCTGCAAAAGATCTTTTAATTGATCATACAAAATCTAAAGATAAAACTCCAAAATTTTATTAGCTCTATACATGAAGGTTCATCCATGCTATGATCCAATTACCTAGCAACTGCCACAATAACTACTTAATAAATACTGGTAGATGAATGAATAAATTATTTCCCTAAGATCATATAAACAGCGTACGTCTATATGATATTAAAAGCAAATGTGTTAGGTGAAACACATTACATGAGGGCTTGTAGGATAATAAATTTATGCAATATGTTTGTATTTGGGACTTTAAGCAAAGCTTAAAATTTTTATATGATAACAGAGATTATGGAATAGTCAATTCTCAAATATTTACTACAAACTATAATCTAGGCTCTCTGTTCTGGGAGCAAGGGATAGAACCAGGATTAGCTGATTTATAGAGGCACCAGGCTATCATTAAAGTAATAACAGTGTTATCAATTAGAAAAATAATCCCTTCCTGCCTACCTCCAAATTCATTCCTGACTTTTGCTTTCTAGAGTGATTTGTCAATGTTTTTTATTAAAAAAAGTGTAAACATACAGAAAAACAGTGAATTTTACAGTGAACAACCCTCTAATCAGTACTAAGATTCTATCAGTAACATTTTATCATTTTACTGTTTGTCTTAATCATGTATCTATCCACACATTTTATTTATTAAATGCATTCCAGAGACTTCAGTACATTTCCATCTAAATACTCCAGCACGCGTACACCACTGGCTAGAACTCAATGTTTTGCAGTTTTGTTCTTCAGAGATAAAATTTACATACAATGAATATTTTAAAAGTATAGACCTTGAACAAACATAAATAATACTCTTCCCTTTGAAAACCCCAGAGAGTATGCATCTATGAGCAATAAAATTAGGCACCTTTGGAACGGGCTCTTGTTTGCGTTTTCAGCTCTATCTCCCATAATCCTTCCCCTCACACTGTTTTTATTGGTAAAAATGGCTGAATTTGATAAATTTCAGATGGTTCAACATCATAGTTATAGCACAACACGGACGATGTCTTCCCTCAACACAGGCGATCCTTTCCACATATGGACAGTCTTAGCCTACAGGCAACTCTGTCTGGAGGGCACACCTCACTCTCCTTCCTACTCCTGTGCACCCTTGAGACTAGCTTAGGCTTTACTTCTTCCTCCAATGCAATTCCACAAGCCACCTCCAAACGAATATGGGCAAGAGCCCCACCCTATGTGTTCTCGTAGCACCTGCATTTTATCATAATACTGACCACTGTCTTCCTCATGAGCCTGTAAAATCCTTGAGGACAGGGCTGTGTTTAACTCCTCGCACAGTGCCTGGCACTTAGGATGAACTCAAATAATTGCTGAATGATTATTATTAACACTAAAACACAGAATCTCTCTCGTCTTTCTAAAGAGTCCCACCCCTCTGTACTGTTGCCTTTCTTGTGAGAAATAAATGGAGGTGGAACTATGGACAAATAATACTTTCATACTTTGTAAACAAGAGAAACATACTTAGCAAGTCAGGCAATAGCTTACCACCTCGTAAAAGTCACTTAATTTCTCTGAACTTCAGCTTTCTCATCAGCAAAAATGTCTGCTCAGGGTAAGGCTGTGAGAATTAGAAGTCATCATATAAAATTATTACTGCTAACATCTGAAAACATTATGTGTCAGGCTCTATGCTGTTCAGTCATTAAATCATGTCTAACTCTTTGCCACCCATGGACTGTAGTCCACCATGCTTCTTTCTGTTCGTGGGATTTCCCAGCCGAGAATATTGGAGTGGGTTGCCATTTCCTTCCTCCAGGACATCTTCCCGCCCCAAGGACAGAATTTGCAACTCCTACATTGGCAGGTGATTCTTTACCACTGAGCCACTAGGGAAGCCCTGAGGCTCTAATAATCTTCCATTTATTAATGTATTTAATCCTCACAAAACTCTATGCAAGGCACTATTTTATTCCCATTTTACAGGTGAGAAAACTGAGAAACTGTAGCCTATAGTTCCACAGCTAATAAGGTAGCACTGGGAGGCATCCCAGACAGTCTTGGCTCCAAAGACATGCTCTCTTAGCTACCACACTACATTCTCAAGGAACAGAAGAACCAAAATAAACACATGGCAGGCTACATCTGGAAAAATTAAGATGGATACAGTGGCGGACAGTCCAGGGCAGGAAGGTATGGTGGGAAACTAGGGAATCTGAGGAGGCCTGGTAAGATGCCTGGCAAACAGCAAATGCTGAATAAATGACTACTTTACACCAGGGAAACCAATTAGTAGACATCACTCAGGTTCAGAACTCAAGAGAATACAAGTGGATAAACCATGTTCAAAAGAAGAAAAAATTATCTAATGAATCTACAAAAAGGAAAAGGTTATAGCCCTATACATAAGCTAAATACCTGTACAGAAATTTATGAAACAACACAACCCTGGTGGACGCTCAGGGACCCAGAGAACACTAGCTGCCCTTACCTCACACCTGGCAGCTTGCTCCTCGAGTCCACATCTTAGGAAAGTAATTTCCTTTCTTAGAGGATAAAGGAAATGAACAGCAGTTGCTATCTGTTATATTATTTACTTCATACCAGGTCCTTTAACTTTTTAAATCCTTACACTACGCCTATTATGGAGGAAACAAAGACTTGGAAAGCTTGGGTGACTTGCCACAAGTCACAAAGCTAAAAAGTGGCAAAGCCCAGACTTCAATCTCAGTTTGTCTGATTCCAAAGCCTGTGCTCTTAATCACATTGCTAAGAAGGGAACTGCCACTCAGAACTCGGTCGGTTTCAAACAGTAAAGCAGAAATCTTCTGTAAAAGGTAAAAAGTAAAAGGGATCGAAGTGTTGAGGAAAAGGACAGAGATTCAAAAAAAAAGAATGAAGTCATCTTAGAGTTGTAAATAGCAATGAAATAGAGTAAAAGGTAGTAGAAACAAGTACCCTAGATGTCAGGACAACAGACCACAGAGTTCTGAAAAAGTAGGTATGGGCCTCTTGTTAAGAGACTATACAACTGAGAATGTACAAAACAGATAAAATCACGGGAACAATATGAGAAAGGTAGAGCCCAGGATAAGCGAATTTTACAAAAACTAAGGCCCTAAAGAGAGCTTTTAAATGTTCAGAAGAATAATGAATGAGTAGACCTACAGTGCCTAAAAGAGATGATTATGTCAATAAATGATGTATTATCATTTTCTACAACATCATCTGCAAAATGCTAAGAGGGAGTTTGGGATTGAAGTGGGTAGGATGGTCAAAGAATGGTTTTAAATGAGCTCAAGTTTCTAAGAGAATTACATCCCAAGGACAAACATTTCACAAAAGCCAGAAAACGGAGGTAAAAGAAGATAACTCATTTTCAAAAAGTGAAAAACGATGGATTCTGGGAACCGCAGACAAATATACCAAAATTTCACTAAGGAAAAACTATGGCTGAACTAATCTCACTTATTGTTTGGTCACTCAGCTAGTACATGAGGAAAAACCAGTCATGCACCATGATTTCACAAAAGGATGCAAGATTTCCATCATATTCTTGAGGATATGTTGCCAAGCTAAGAACTAGACAAATGTACAGGTAAGAGAATCTTAAGTTGGTTAAATACTCAGTGTGATTAAATAACCGCCAACAGCCATATTCCATTTTTAGAAGATTAGGCTAAGGACCATGGTCCATTAAGCACTTTTAAATGATTCACAGTAATACTTTCCAAACTCCAGTGTGTTTAATGACCTTAAAAAAAAAATGCCTTCAATACCCTTGACACTGTAAGAGACTTATCAAAATAGGCTGATAGCCAATTTAGATCCCTAGTAAGATAACTGTAAGAACAAAACTCAAAATAGGATTATGAGCTAAAATGACAGAATAGAATCTGCACTTTAAAGGCTTGCACACAGATTTTAAAATCTACAATACTCAAGTGGGTCTAATGCTGGCTGGAGCAGATATGAAAACCATTCATACATTTAAATTGCCCATGAACTCATCAATCAATAATTTTATATTATTAAAAAAACTAAAGTAATCTTATGCTGTACTGATGACAAAACTACACCAAAATCAAAGAATGTAGCATAACTGCGTCCCTGACAGATCCATATGGAAAACTATTTGACGTTTACAACAAAAGATGATGCTGCCTTTTCCTCTTTCTTGCAATTGTTTACAGAATCACCAGTTAATTCTCCCTCCTGTCTACCATCTCACAGCGATCCCATTCCTGCTGTAACCCCTGGTGGTTTCATGTACAAGTAGTGAGTGATCCCATTACTAGATGTCCGTGTACTAGATGACAGCCTGGCCTCTCACATCCTTACGCTACTTTTCTCCACGATCTTATCCTTTTCTCCTTTAGATACCAAGTCCATGGTCACACTCCGTTCATTACTAACTGCACTGCCTTCCAAGCATCAAGTATTCACTTCCTTTTACTCTTTCTATTACCCTGATTTCAAAAAACCTTTGACTCCTCTGAGACTATAACAGAGTAATCTTACCGTCTTTTTTCACTGTCCCATAATAAATCACCCCCTTCCCTAGCAACCTACATCCTTCTCCCACTCACCCAGCTTAGATTCCACAGTTCACCATTAGCATCACCCTCCTGACTACATCTCCTGCCCTCCTCTCCTTCTTGAGTACTTCCTGGCAAAACACAACGGGGTAAACTCAACTCTCTGGCAGCTAACCTCAAATGTGCTCTGAACGTTGCCTGGCAATCCTGCCACATCTCCCTAATCCATTCATTTCCACACTGCTTCATACCTTTTCCTCACACTTCCTCCCCCATCCCCCCTTTCTGTTAACAATTCTGTTCACTGTATCAGAGACAAAATGGAATTAATATGAAATGAACATTTTTCTTCCATGACAGGTATGGACTTACTTCTACCCATAAACTCTGTTTCCTCCTGTTACTAGATGAAATGTCTGTGTTCCTACTTAATCCTAACCTAACCACCTGATACTGAATTCCAACCCCACTAGCTTGGTGAACAATACAAGACAGATAATGCCTCACTCTGAGAACTATTTTTCAACAATTAGAGCTGTCAAAGGGTGAAAGAAATAATTTCACAAAGCAACAGTTATTTAATCATCAGATTCTTTTGATATCTTTCTGCACTAACTGGAAGTATTAATAAATCCAGATAATCACAACACCCTCTCAGCTCTAAGAGTCTGTTTTTAGAAAATATCTTAGCATAGGTTAATGGTATTAATGGGAATGTACACATTTTTCTCATCTTTGGTACCTCTGGTTAATTCCTCAGGGTCTCTCATTTGACTACAGGGCAAGTCCCTGGGGAAGGAATAACACTGGAACGGGAGAATGACAGGCTGCCATTTCCTATTACTTTATAGAAACTTGCCTAGTAATTTTATCTTCATTTTCATGCTGCTGTATTTCTAGAACAGCTACCTTAGAAACTCTCTTGGGAATATTTAATAGAACTGCATATTTCAAGGATATGTGTACAACTAATTCTCATAACACCCTTCAATAGGCATTGTACATAAATTTCATGAAATTTGAGCAATAGGTTTAACTATATTTGACCTTTTTATTATTTGAATTTTTGCAACTAACTAAAAAGAAAGGGAAGGTAAAATGAAAAAAAAGAAAGCTGAGTAAATGGAAGAGATCACAAACAAAACTGGACTTACTGCTGGGATGACTTAGAAGGTATAACATATTTACCTTTAACGATCTTCTTTGCACAGTCATTATACACTTGCTCTTGAGATGTGTTTGACTGGAACACCCGGTCAAATGCATAAGGCTTGGACTAAAAAAACAGAAACAAAAGTTTCAACTACACATATTAAATGTGAACAGACATTTCTAAGCTCCTTTAAAGACATCACCATATATTTAACCTTCAAAATAGGATACCTACTACGCATCACTTAGAACCTTTCTGGAAAAGTCCTTACTTAGGGCCCAGGAACAAACCCACTCCAATAAACACAAAACCAAGTATGTCTGTTTTAGTCTTGTTGTATTTCCAAGGCCCAGCACTGAAATTAAGTGTTACTATGGTGGGCACTCATACTGTTGAGTGATTTTTACTTAGTGAGTATCTTTTCTGGCAGATAGAGACTCTATTTTCAACACTAACTCATCCTGTAGATAAGGAATTAGAATCGTGAAAAGTCCAAAAGTTGTAAACGACAAAATAAAAATTCAATCTCAAGTCTCCTTTCAGTTCAGGTTTCCTTCCATTATTCCATTCAGCTTTTCAGTGTAGTGCAACATCATTTCAACCATATTTATTTAAGTATTTATGGAATGCCAGTTATGCTGGACATCACACTAGAAGGATGACCATGACAGATTCACTCTCTGCTTTAGTGGAAGTAAGAGTGGGGCAGATATCAGACCAATAATTAAGTGACTGGAATTCCATCCTGCACAACAGGGTGCTTCAGAAGGGCTATGACAGCACTTAGGGGAGAACCTGAGACTAGGGAAGGCAGGAGAACAGCAGAGAATCACTCTGGAGAAGGGATGTTAACGAACCGAAGAATAAAGAGCACACCAACTGTCAGTCTCGTCAATGTTACTCATGAGGAAGAGTGAGTGTGGGGAAGTACTCCAGGCATTGGGAACAAGATGCTTAAGGATCCTGAGGTTGAAAGGAACTTGGAGCATCAAGAAACCAAAGGATGTTGTTCAATCTCAAGTGCAAGGATGCACAAATCAAATGTCAACATTGTTAAAAAGGCAACTAACAGTTTAACATTATTTGTAATAGTTTTGATTTTGTGGGTCCCTTAAAGGACCTAGAGGACACAATTTGAGCACAGGTGATACAGCTTGGGAAGGAGCCAGAGGCATGAAATGAAAATCAAAGAGTATACTATCCATGCAAGTCAAGGAAGCATTTTCAAGGAGGAGGTGACTGTCTCATACATAGTGGAGAGGTCAAGGCAAAACTGAAAAGACTCCAATGACAAAGATCAGATTGGAAAGAGGTGAAAAAAGAACAGGAGGTAACTGAACAGAAATCTAGCTGTGGCTCAAAGAAAGCTATGCTTTATGATGGATGAGATCTGAGCAAGTTTAAAAGCTGGCAGGAACAATTAGTAATCTGAGAGAGAAAGTAACCATCTAAAGACGAGAGAGGGAGCATGAGGGCTCTCAGCACTGAAAGTAAGTGTGTGCCAGCTCTCTAGTCTCTTCTAAAGTAAAGGAAGGGAGCTGGGCCCCAAAATAAACAATCATGACCCCAGAAAAAATCCTTAACCTTGTAGAATACTGCCTAGGATCTTAGCTAAAAAAGATCATAGTTTTTAGAAACTATACCCCACATTTCCCCTCCCCAAAGCTTGGAATAACACTAACAATGACACAAACAGCCCCTAAAGGCCAAAGCCATTCCCAATTCCCCTCTGGCCTCCTGCCAGACAGGCTGGAAGCTAATCACTTGCTACCCGAGTCTCCTTGTAACTACTGGCCACATGACCCAGCTCTAGACACTATGAAGTGACAGTCTGCTGGGAGGTATCCGAGAATCACCTCAGCCAAAGCTGCCCTTTCTTCTTTCTGGGATGAATGTCTGGAATGGGAGCATCCATCTTGCAAAGACGACACATATGATGACGAAAAGTCAGTAACTAAGGATGACAGAGGGTAACAGAGTCAGCAAGAAGCAAAGGCCCCCCCAAAAAACAAAAAAAGAAGTAAAGGCCCATATCCAGACTTCCTATGTGAGAAAAATAACCTCTTATTTATTTAAACCACCATTAGTTTGTTTGTTTTCTCTCTGCAGCTGAAAGCATTCCTGAAGGATATACTCAGATGACCTCACTTTGGCATCAATTAAATGTAGGCTTCTCAATGTCTGATTATTCTTCGGCTACAACACACATAAAGTGTCCTTCTGCTAAGATTCCAAGACACTGACATTCAAATCCACCGGTGTGGCTAATAAAAGACAATCTACTATTTCACTGATGACACAAGATGTATTCATGATAATTCTGAAAACACAAGTATAAAATAACAGAAATAAACTATATTTATATTTTGTTCTATTAAAAAAAAAGTATTTTTCTCTCTTCATTTACTCAGCAAACATTTATTTAGTATCTATAAGGTATGAGAACTGATGCTGAAGCTCCAATACTCTGGCCACCTGATACAAAGAGCAACTCATTGGAAAAGACCCTGATGCTGGGAAAGATTGAAGGCAGGAGCAGAAGAAAACAGAGGATGGCATCACTGATTCAATGGACAAGAGCCTGAGCAAATTCCAGCAGATAGTGAAGGACAGGGAATCCTGGCATGCTGCAGTCCATGGGGCTGCAAAGAGTCAGACAAGACTTAGTGACCAAACAATGCCGTGGTATGAGCTATTATAAACAAGTAACACAATTTTAGAAATGACATTTAATTAGTGTGAGAATAGGGTACAAAGAATAACAGAGGATAGGCTGGATAAATTCTTGAACACTAAGCTAAGCACTTATATACGAGGACTGAAGATAAGTGATCAGTAATGTTAACTGAATTGAAACAGAGACAGCCTCCACCATTAGCGAATTCACGAATAATTCTAATTTTGCTTGAAGAAACAAGTTAATCAGTAGAAGTTAGGTAGCAGTATGACAACTGCATCCCTCCAAAATAAGGCAAATGATATTTTATTAACATAAACATTTACACAATAAAAAGAACAAACACCACTGTAGTCCTATCTTCATTTTTACATAAACTAAAAAAAAATTGCTTATAAACATTTAGAAAGAGATATGCCAAAAATAACAGGTAATATAAAGTCTGCCTCTAAAGCTGATACTTTATGCAGCTGTTTACTCAGGCATCACCTAACACCAAATATGCAAACTACCACTGTATTAGATTAAGAATATGAGCATGCAAACATAAAAATAATAAAGCTGAGTGACTTTTTAAAGTTGGTAGTGGTGGTTTAGTGGCTAAGTTGTGTCTGAAGTTATACGTTAAATAAAAAACTAACTGAAGCGCTTAGTATTAAGTTGACAAAATAGCCTTACTTTAATTTCGAAACTGAATTATAATTTTCTTAAATAAAGCAAATGTGATCCTGGCTTCCTGGATGAAAAATGAGACTTGTGAGACATAAAAACTATTTCTAATGGCCTATAACAAAGGTACATCCCATAACTAATAATCTTTCAATAAATTAAACACTCATTATCTGGATATCCATATCTTAAAAAATTTGGCCCTTGGTCGTGAAATATACATCATGCAGCCTTTAAAAATGTGTATCTTCAAATATACTCCAACTCACAAGATGTATTCACATCTAACTTAGGCTTCAAGGGGACAAAACCAAACAGGAATGTTTATTTACCTTAGATTTCTTAAGTTGAGTGGTTCCTGTCTGAATCTGCACAGACCAGGCTGAACACCAAATTTGGTTACAAAGGACACACTTCTGGCAGGAATATGTCTTTCTCTGGAATTCTGAATAGTGATTTTCAGATTACATGGGATTACATCATACTACATTTTCCTTAGTTAAGACACTGATTGTGGGCTAACATTCTGCAACTGTAAAGGTATATTATGATGGCTCCTTTTTTCAATTTTCATATATAAGGTAATCAGGACTGAACACCAAATCATCATTCGAGAGGGGAAACTGTGCTGTGCTGGAGGTTAGAATTAGGTCTAATTTCAATGAACCACAACACAACAGTCCGTTTTGGGTTCTGGCGGCCTCTACAGTATACCATATAAGAAATGAGTTGGTAAAGATACTTGATGCAAGTATGCATGTTCCACTTTTATGATGTGTAAACAGATGAAAGAATAACTTTTCTTATTGATTTCTTTTATTCAGTGTTTTCAGCTGGCTCCTTTGAACTACAGAAGGCGTTTCCTTAGTGTCCCAGTTTTTGTGCATCACAAGTTTGCTTATCTAAAGCAAATAGTTTTACCATATCACTGTCAAAGATCTTAAAAAAATAACACATTTCTATTTCATTCAATATGTGATATATATAGCACTTCACTGAGCATTTAATTACCAAAAAAGAAAAAAAAAGGAAAAACTGTACAAAGGCTGCAAAGCACAGAAAAACACTGCAAGATTACACGGCCATGGGATCACACCACATTAAAATCACTGACTACGTGAGTAACAGGAAAAAAGTTTGGACAATATATTGGAAACTAAACTTAGATGAAAATCAGAATCCTAAAAATTTATCTTCTTTGTGAGCACTGATTATAGTTACAATTTGGTAACACTCTAAACTAAAACACTTATTTTTTTAATTTTGATTTAACCAGAAGGCTGTGTACAAAATGTTTTCAAATTATTTTAGACAATTTAATTTTAAATGCTGCACTGCAGTGATTCCTTCTTAATCTATTTACTTTGAATCGGGGTCAGTATCCAGTAAAATGAAGAAAAAAAAAAAAGATGACTTTACCTAGAGGTTTTCTATTTCCACTTCTAGCTGCCGTTAAACTCTCAGACAACTTAAAAAAAAATTAAAGAATGCACTTAAAAAACTTTTTAAAAGAGATCTCAGAGTAATTAATGACTTCTATATGCAGAAGACTGGTTTCTGAAAATAATGAACCAAACATGTTGCTTTACATTTTCTAAAGCTATATCACACTCAGTTGTAATATCCTTCTGCCTGTACTTAAAACAAACAAAAAACCCACGACTAAAATGCTTACCAGTTTATCTAAAGGCCAACTAACTTACATTACTGATTTATCACTCAATTACTTGTCCATGATGTTTAATATCACCACTTAAATTAATTACTAAGGAAACCTAAGTAAAACTTAAAATAACTTTATCCAAAGGAAACAACCTAAAATAAATGTGTGCTTCCTGTGGTAACTGTTTATTTTCTTTTAACTCTTTCCTCCTATCTTATGTCATATTTGGCCTGCAACAGAAGGCTGTCTTCTAACCTAACCGTAAAACATTTCGTGAATCCTAAATCTTACCATTACAACAAATAAATCTTGACAATACTATAGGTTTGGGTAAATATCCACACACAAAAAAATATCTAAAGAAATAAGAAAGCCTTAACACCAATCTGAAAGGAAAATAGCTTGGTTATGTCAACCACTGCAGAGGCTGAGTAATCACAACAATTCTATGAGAAACTAATAGCCTACTAGTGTTGGCCAACTAACAAACCAGGCCTAGTGAGCATCTTCTGCTATCATGTAAAATAGATAATCCTGAAAGAAAAGGATGATTAGTTTCGTGCATAACTTTCTGGCATCTCCATGATGTCATTTATAGCACGGGTTTTTCTGTGGACTTGTTAACAAAGAACCAGCCTGACAGTCTTCACACAGTAAGAGCTGGCAGTTATTAAGAACCTAATGACTTGTTTGCCAAAACCGTCCCAAGCAGTGTGGAGCTATGACATTAATCTTCGAGAGCTGAACTTGGAAACTTTCACATAAAAATTCTAAGGAACTTGAGTTCTGTCTTACATGTCAATGCTTCTAGCCTTCAATGTTCCATCTCCTGTGATATTTGTCCTATTTCTATATTAAGATATTCAAACTTATGGTAAATGGAAAGGCGAAAAAGTTAACACTAAAATTGGGGAGCGTGATAGCAATGTAGAAAGATGGCAGCAAGAAAGATCTCCATTTTAATCTCCTTGAATTGGGAATTATTTTCAAGACCTTTCACGTTATGTTTCACATTACAAAAGACATTATCTCACCATCCTTGTGATTATCAAAGTCATTTTTCTTCAAGGAAGATTCTAATTCTAGAAGTAGGAATCTGACAGTAACAAGAAATCTAGTTTACTGATCAAATTTTATATATTTAAAAAAAAACCTGCTTTTATAATGCTTTGATATACACACGAAAAGTTAACACTCTGCCAGAGTGCTACCCATTAAAACCCAGTGAGTCTCTCTGGGCACTTACTTAACCCAACGTTCATCGGCGAGATCCGCCGGTGGATGAGACAAAATCGAGCGCTCCCATTTCAAAAGAAAACTACTTTTTACAGCCCTGGATTCGCCATTTCTAACTGTAAACTCAAAAGCGGGTTGGGTGAACACTGAAGGTACCAGCATAACTGCGACTGTTACGGTTTTCCTTCTCCCACGGAGGAAACAAGACAGTCTAACGCACTTTATAAAGACTTCTTTTAAGACTAAGTATCATTACTATTTAAGGTTCGGTAAGGCAGAGCCCAACGTTCTCAGCCGAACTCTGATCTGACATATTTTATGAATGATAAATCTGAGGGGGAGGGGGTCCGACACACCCGACTGCATCTACATCAGAACCTGCAGGCGCACAGAAAGCCGGTGAACGGGCACTCAACTGGTTCCCCAACGGCTCCACCCGCGCCCCAGGTAGGGGAGTGCCCGGGACCCAGGGCGGGTGCCTCCCGTCCCCGGCGCTGCAGACCGGGGTGGGGCAACCCCGCAGCACCCGACGAGGCGCCGAGCCCCTCCCCTGGGCCGTCGGACCCCACTGCGGAGGTGGGGCGCCCCAAAGGTCGCTCTCGGCTTACTCCCCACTTCTCTTAACTCCCGGGGAGGCCGGGCCCGAAGGAGGGAGCCTGGGTGGGGACAGGGGCACTCACCGCGATCATGACCGTGTCTTCTCCCTGAAACTTGGCGATGTATTTATCGCCGCGGTTCACTTCGGACTCGTTGAGCGGTCTGAAGCGACACATCACTTTGATGTTGCACTCCGCCGGGTCCGCCATCTTCCCGGCTGCCGGGGCCCGAGGCCGGGACCCACTCCCCGCCGCTCAGTCTTGGAGGAAGTAGACCGAGCCGAGGGAGCTAGCGTGCCGAAGGCCGAGGGCCCGCGGTCCGCGGGGTCGCGCTTCCCCGGCGGAGCGGCCGCGACCTGGGCGGCAGCGCCCGGGCCGGCACGGTCACCCACAGGCTCACTTCCGACCCATCATGGCAGCCATGGCGGCGGCAGCGGCGGCTCCTCAGCTTCTCCCTTGACTGGCGGGGCAGGTTGCTGGGCTGAGGGATCCCGGAGACCGGGAGCGCAAGCCCCTCTTCTTCCTAGAAGACAGCAGGCCGGGCCCACCTTCGGCCTGCCCGGCTGTCGGCTCGCCGGCTGCAGCCAGACCACTCCTGAGGCCGCGGAGGGGCAGCGGGATGGGCGGCACAGGCGGAGAACTGCGCACGCGCGGAGGACCCGGCGCCCCTGCGACCAATCCGCGGCGGCGCCGCCGCTTCACGCCGGGGTTGCAGGGCCAAGTTACCGGACGCGCAAGCGCAGAGTGAGCTATCGACCCCGCCGAGGATTCCACGGAGTTGCCCGGTGCCCTAACGTTCTTTTCTCTAGAGGACAAGGGACCTTGTTAAAAGTGCTTCACGTTGTAGTTTAAGTAAAAAACTATATTCCTGTTAGGACGTGTTTGCTTTCTGTTTAGTCTGGAGATACATTGATTTCTAGCCCACCTTTTTAGAGCGCTTTGCCAGAAAAAGGAAGATTTGAATGAAGGGCGGGACGTGGCTTATGGTTCAAACGGTTGCTCATTCCTAAGAGAGGGGGTTGGGGGACAGGAATAAGAAAAAGGAAGTTTCGTCTGAGGACTAGAAGGTGCTGAAGAAATGTGGAACAGTAGGGTGAGGTGGGAGAAGACTCCCGGGGAACTGACGGTCCCAATGACTCCGTAATAATCCTATGGAACTCATCAGTCTCCACGTCTGGAGTGTGAAGACCGAAAAACTGCAAAGATAACTAGGACCGCTAATCCTAGTCCCCGATTTTTGTTTGTAAAATAGAAGATTGTAGGATTTACCTAGTGGTCCCGTAGTTAAGAATCCGCCTTGCAAAGCAGGGGGACAGGGGTTCCATCCCACGTAGAGAAACTAAGATCCCACCCAACATGCTGCTGCAGTGTGGCCAAAAATAAAAAATTAAAAAAAAAAATAGAGGCGTGTACTGTTGTTCAGTCGCTAAGTCCTGTGGGACGCTTTGCAACCCCACAGACTGAAGCACACCAGCCTTCCCTGTCCTTCACTATCTCCTGAAGTTTGCTCAAACTGATGTGCAATGAATCAATAATGCTGTCCAACCATCTCATCCTCGGTCGCTACCTTCTCCTTCTGCCCTCAATCTCTCCCAGCATCAGGGTCTTTTCCAATGAGTCAGCTCGTCACATCAAATGGCCAAAATATTAGAGCTTCAGCTTTGGTTCTTCCCATGAATATTAAGGGTTGATTTCCTTTAGGATTGACTGGAGAAGACTCTTCAGAGTCTGCTGGACAGCAAGGAGATCAAACTAATCAATCCTAAAGGAGTGTACTATGAGAGTCTCCAGTTGTTCTCTGTCCTCCCCTGATGATCATAATGCCTGCAGAAATGAATCCAGAGTCTACAGATTCAGGCTTATTGATCCACAGCAAAGGGGGAAGAGTTCAAACCTCAGGCATCTTGGAACATCTCACCAAACACAGAAAAGGATGGAGTTGTTACAGAGCTGTGGGGGAAGTGTGGAATTTAGGTAAATTTAAATGAATCTGTATTTTGATTGGTTCCAACAAAGCGGTGCTGTGTGATACCAGATCTGGACTACAAGTGGATGCAAAAAGGCTTGTTTCATTGGAACTACAAAGTTAAGATAGGTGTGGAGTATTGTCTCCAGAAATCCCCCTTTCCACAGCTCTGCACCTGACTTGAGAATCAGTCTAGGCTACCTCTCTGTGTCTTAGACTCTTAGGTAAGAGTGGAATGTTCTCTTCTTACTGATGTAACTTTGGGTGGCAGTTTCTGACAGTCTATGATATTAGAGAACAACGTTTTCAGTAGGAAAGCGATAGTCAAAGAAGGAGGTTGTTGTAGCCGGTGGGTCACCAGTTTTCAGCCCTTGTAGCAGGATCTCATTAAGGCTCTGTCCTCAGTCTTCTGCTCTTTGCTGTTGGAGCTCACTTCTTTAATAACTGCTGGTGTCTCTTCTCTACAGCCCTGAGCTTTTCACCTGAGTGATGTTCCCATCTCTCCAGCTGTGTGCAGGCCACCTTGTTTAGGATACTTTCCCTTAGCCTCAGATTTATTAGTATTCCAAAGACAAAATTACTCCCTGCCAATACTGAGTGCAGCTACTCAGCTCTCCGTTTTTCATGATCAGCATCAACATTCTTCCATACTTCCAGGCTTAAACAGTTCTAGTCACCTGTAACTCCACTGTTTTCTTCATCTCAGAGGCGGGAGGGGGGTTCAGGTACATATGTACACCATGGCTGGTTCATGTCAATGTATGGCAAAAACCACTACAATATTGTAATTAGCCTCCAATTCAGTTCAGTTCAGTTCAGTCACTCAGTCATCTCTGACTCTTTGCGACCCCATGAACCGCAGCATGCCAGGCCTCCCTGTCCATCACCAACTCCTGGAGTCTACCCAAACCCATGTCCATCAAGTCGCTGATGTCTTCCATCCATCTCATCCTCTGTTGTCCCCTTCTCCTCCTGCCCTCAATCTTTCCCAGCATCAGAATCTTTTCCAATGAGTCAGCTCTTCGCATGAGGTGGCCAAAGCATCGGAGTTTCAGCCTCAACATTAGTCCTTCCAATGAACACCCAGGACTGATCTCCTTTAGAATGGACTAGCTGGATCTCCTTGCAGTCCAAGGGACTCTCAAGAGTCTTCTCCAACACCACAGTTCAAAAGCATCAATTCTGTGCCCCAATTAAAATAAATAAGTTAATTTTTAAAAATCTACAGAAGAGAAACATGGGAGTCTGTGTACCTGAAGTTCCTCAACTTCCATTCCACCATTCCCAATTGTTCCCCAACTCAGAAGATCTGAGCAATGATTGTTCTAGAGCTGTGATTTTCAGACTGCTCCATGGAGTAAAGGATACAAAGAAGTGACTCAGGAGGTTTCACAGGTCTGGTGAGAGAAAGAAGGTGGGTGGAAGGGTTAAGCTGGGAAGCTCTGGGAAGCTCTGCTGTTCAGCATCCTTTAGTTGCCTTTCAACTCTCACCTCTTTCCTCTTGCTGCACGACAGATTCTGGAAGCTCAGGCTTTATGAAAACAAAATCCAGAAAGGGAAGTATCTGTGAGAGCTTTCTGTTTTCGAATCTGACACACACACTTCTAGGCGAGTGAGCATAAAGAGCCTAACTACGCACAGAACCAGGAAGGAGAAAAAGGCTATGTGAAAAACAAAATGTTTCTTTTTCTTGTTTTTTGGCCACCTCAAGTGGCTTGCAGGGTCTTATTAATAGTTCCTCAAGGGGACTAAACCTGGGTCCTGGCAGTAAACGCACTGTTTTAATCACTGGACCACCAGGGAATTCCGAAAAACAAAATATTTCAAAAAATTGTTCTGTCACACAAGTGAGGAATATCAAACAATAGGGTTTAAGTAATATTTTCATAGGGAAACAAAAGATTGATTTTTAAAAAATGATTCATCTCAGTTTTTCTTCCAAATATATGAAAGATCAACATTATTCAACATGAGCAGTGAGACAGTAGGTTTCCTTGACAGTACAGTTTGAGACTCAATAATTTTTTTCCTTATGAAAATGTGACTGGTATTTCACCTATACAGATTTAGAGCACTGAATCTCCATTGTGGAAGGCAGCCTCCAAAGATGGTGCTCTAGTGAACCATGCCTACTTGTATCTCATTGTTGTGCAGCCATTTTCCTTGAATCTTTTTTTATCTATTTACTTATTTATTTGGCTGTGCATGCGTGCTAAGTTGTTCCGTCATGTCTGACTCTGTGCAGTCCTACAGACTATAGCCCACCAGGCTCCTCTGTCCATGGGATTCTTGGGGCAAGAACACCGGAGTGGGTTGCCATGCCCTCCTCCATGGGACCTCAGGTCTATAGGCAGCACTCAGGATCTTTGTTGCATCATGGGGATCTTTCATTGTGGTGAACAGACTCTCTAGTTGCGGCAGGTGGGCTTAGTTGCCCTGCAGCATGCAGGATCTTAATTCCTGGACCAGGGATTGAACCCAAGTCTCCTGCATTACAAGGCAGATTCTTAACCACTGGACCACCAGGGAAGTCCCCACTCTCTTCGTGAATCTTGGTAGGTCTTTTTACTCACTTGGAACTAGTACAAGGTGGTAGAAGTATGATATTGCATGCTCTCTGAAACTAGGTGAGAAGAAGTCTTATAGTTTCCACTTAGGTCTCTTGAAACAGTCTTTTGAGGAATTTTAACATGCCATGTGAGAAGACCACCTACGGTGAGAGTACCATGTCAAAGTCAATAGATCCAACTGATCCCAACCTTCCAGCCATCCCCTCCCAGGCATCAGACAAGGGAAGAACCTTGAACTGTCCAGACCAGCACACTCAACAGTTGAGTACCAGTGAGTAATCCCAGTTGGCACCCTTAGAGCAGAAGAATCACCCAACTGAGGCCTGCCCAAATTCCTGATCCATGAAATCATGAGATGTAATAAAATGGTTATTGTTTAAGCTACTCAACTTTCTTTTTAAAAAAGTATTTATTTTTGGCTGTACTGGATCTTCATTGCATCATGTGGGATGTTTCTTTGAGGCCCTCAGACTCAGTAGTTGCGGTACATGGGCTCAGTTGCCCCACTGTATGTGAGATCTTGGCTCCGTAACCAGGGATCAAACCCATGTCTCTCGCACTGGAAGGCAGATTCTTAACCACTGGCTACCAGGGAAGTCCCTAAGCTACTCAGTTTCAAAGACCTGTTATATAGCAATAGATAACTGGAGTAATTACCTACAGCTTGGAACCTA